ATAAAGCCATAAAAGCAATGAAAGAGTGATCATAGGAACTGTGACCGAATTTTCACAATAAACAACATGTACTACCAAACTCTGCAGCCATAGCTGGCTGCACGAGTCATAAAGGGCGATTGAAGAAAATCAATGTGAGCAATTGCCACCCTCGGGGAGTGCCGACGAGCTGTTTGTGTGCCAGCGGCTCAAGATTCGCCCACATGTGCAACGAATTTCAGAGGAAATGTTGCCGCTCCAGTAATCCGTGTGAGAGGCAGCGTCCCAGAACTCGCGCTGTGCACCGCTGCGTGGCCCGGGCTTTCCCATGATGAAATGTGTTTACCCTGGAACTAAGCGAGGCTCTTTTTATTTTTAATTACGACTCACGGTACCACCACCACCGCTGCTGCTGCTGCTGCTACGATTGCGCTCGGCCAGCAACAAGGGGGTCGTAGTGCCCTCCACACCGGCCAGTCACTCACAGCGAGGTGTGGTGGGACCGGGCAGGTGTGGTGGGACCGGCAGGTGTGGTGGGGCCGGGCAGGTGTGGTGGTGCCGAGCAGGTGTGGTGGGACCGGGCAGGTGTGGTGGGACCGGGCAGGTGTGGTGGGGCCGGAAGGTGTGGTGGGGCCGGCAGGATGTGGTGGGACCGGGCAGGTGTGGTGGGGCCGGAAGGTGTGGTGGGGCCGGCAGGTGTGGTGGGACCGGGCAGGAGTGGTGGGACCGGGCAGGTGTGGTGGGGCCGGAAGGTGTGGTGGGGCCGACAGGTGTGGTGGGACCGGGCAGGTGTGGTGGGGCCGGAAGGTGTGGTGGGACCGGCAGGTGTGGTGGGGCCGGCAGGTGTTGTGAGGCCGGCAGGTGTGGTGGGACCGGCAGGTGTGGTGGGCTCGGCAGGTGTGGTGGGGCTGGCAGGTGTGGTGGGGCCGGAAGGTGTGGTGGGCTCGGCAGGTGTGGTGGGCTCGGCAGGTGTGGTGGGGCCGGGCAGGTGTGGTGGGCTCGGCAGGTGTGGTGGGCTCGGCAGGTGTGGTGGGGCTGGCAGGTGTGGTGGGGCCGGAAGGTGTGGTGGGCTCGGCAGGTGTGGTGGGGCTGGCAGGTGTGGTGGGGCCGGAAGGTGTGGTGGGCTCGGCAGGTGTGGTGGGGCCGGGCAGGTGTGGTGGGGTCGGCAGGTGTGGTGGGACTGGCAGGTGTGGTGGGACCGGCAGGTGTGGTGGGACGCGGCAGGTGTGGTGGGGCCGAAAGGTGTGGTGGGGCCGGGCAGGTGTGGTGGGGTCGGCAGGTGTGGTGGGACTGGCAGGTGTGGTGGGACTGGCAGGTGTGGTGGGACACGGCAGGTGTGGTGGGACCGGCAGGTGTGGTGGGACGCGGCAGGTGTGGTGGGACTGGCAGGTGTGGTGGGACTGGCAGGTGTGGTGGGACGCGGCAGGTGTGGTGGGGCCGAAAGGTGTGGTGGGGCCGGGCAGGTGTGGTGGGACTGGCAGGTGTGGTGGGACTGGCAGGTGTGGTGGGACACGGCAGGTGTGGTGGGACCGGCAGGTGTGGTGGGACGCGGCAGGTGTGGTGGGACTGGCAGGTGTGGTGGGACTGGCAGGTGTGGTGGGACGCGGCAGGTGTGGGGGGACTGGCAGGTGTGGTGGAACCGGGCAGGTGTGGTGGGACTGGCAGGTGTGGTGGGACTGGCAGGTGTGGTGGAACCGGGCAGGGGTGGTGGGACCGAGCAGGTGTGGTGGGGCCGAAAGGTGTGATGGGGCCGAGCAGGTGTGGTGGGGTCGGCAGGTGTGGTGGGACACGGCAGGTGTGGTGGAACCGAGCAGGTGTGGTGGGACTGCAAGGTGTGGTGGGACTGGCAGGTGTGGTGGAACCAGGCAGGTGTGGTGGGACCGGGCAGGTGTGGTGGGACTGGCAGGTGTGGTGGGACACGGCAGGTGTGGTGGAACCGGGCAGGTGTGGTGGGGCCGGGAGGTGTGGTGGGACCGGCAGGTGTGGTGGGACACGGCAGGTGTGGTGGGACCGGCAGGTGTGGTGGGGCCGGGAGGTGTGGTGGGACACGGCAGGTGTGGTGGAACCGGGCAGGTGTGGTGGGATGCGGCAGGTGTGGTGGGACCGGGCAGGTGTGGTGGGACCGGGCAGGTGTGGTGGGACCGGCAGGTGTGGTGGGACACGGCAGGTGTGGTGGGACCGGCAGGTGTGGTGGGGCCGGGAGGTGTGGTGGGACACGGCAGGTGTGGTGGGACCGGGCAGGTGTGGTGGGACACGGCAGGTGTGGTGGAACCGGGCAGGTGTGGTGGACCGGGCAGGTGTGGTGGGACCGGCAGGTGTGGTGGGACACGGCAGGTGTGGTGGGACCGGCAGGTGTGGTGGGGCCGGGAGGTGTGGTGGGACACGGCAGGTGTGGTGGGACCGGGCAGGTGTGGTGGGACACGGCAGGTGTGGTGGAACCGGGCAGGTGTGGTGGGACCGGGCAGGTGTGGTGGGACCGGCAGGTGTGGTGGGACACAGCAGGTGTGGTGGGACCGGCAGGTGTGGTGGGGCCGGGAGGTGTGGTGGGACACGGCAGGTGTGGTGGGACCGGGCAGGTGTGGTGGGATGCGGCAGGTGTGGTGGGACCGGGCAGGTGTGGTGGGACCGGGCAGGTGTGGTGGGATGCGGCAGGTGTGGTGGGACCGGGCAGGTGTGGTGGGACCGGGCAGGTGTGGTGGGACCGGGCAGGTGTGGTGGGATGCGGCAGGTGTGGTGGGACCGGGCAGGTGTGGTGGGACCGGGCAGGTGTGGTGGGATGCGGCAGGTGTGGTGGGACCGGCAGGTGTGGTGGGACCGGGTAGTTTGGTACTTCGAGTCACCACACGGCGCCTTGACGTGACTCATAGCGGGAGGGCGGCAAGGCCGCGGTGTTCTATTTTAGTTATTTTAACATAATTATTACAAAGCAGTAACAAATATTGTTATTCCGTGGTGACTCAAAATACGTTTGAATTATAAGATTTTCTAAGTGTTAATTGTCGCAAACATTCTGGCCCATGTCTTAAATGTTAATTTCATATAATGGTAGATTTTTTCTGGATTATAGTGCCACATTAATGTTGTAGTCACACTTAGCCTTCATAGGTGCTACTCGCTAACATCACTTGCTCATGCAGTCTTCAAAGGCTATGCAGAGGATATTTGTCCGTATTGTAGCCCTGTGATCCGTTTTTTTACGGTGTACCGTGCATTGTTCCGCATTAAGCCCGACGCTTCGCTCCGCACGCTGGAAGCTTCTGCAATTGTTCAGAAGAAGTTCCCAGCGTGTGAAGTGAAACGTCAACACGTGATGCTGAACAGCGCTTCGGTCCAATCCGAAGTCACATCGGAAAACCTCCTCGCCATACGGTGCCCAGAGTCCAATATATCTCAGTCTTCAATAATACATATGTTTTACTATTTCGTAACATCTAGCCTTTCCCGTGCCCTTCCTTTAAAAATAGCGAAATAAAACCGCAAGACCCAAGCTGAACACAGGTGCATCTTTACTGTGGAGTCCACGGGAAGAGCGAGCATGGGACAGGGCGAGGTTCTAGGGCCAGACAGAGAAGGCAGAAGCGAGACGGGATGCAGAGGTCACTGCAAAGAGGTGGACATTTTTAGCTGTCGCGCAAGTCAGAAATTGTAATTGTTTTAATAAGTATGATTGATCGAATTTTATTTTATGATATATAAAAAAAATTGGCATTGAGTTTACAGCTTTGGTGATGAGCCATGAACAATTTGGGTCACTGAGCCGCAGGCATGCGACAGTTCTGGCTTCGTAGATTCACGTCGACGATTGCGGGCTACAGCTCTCGATACCGAGGAGCGACCACAATCAAAAAAAGAATAATAAAATACAAGACCACCCTTACTCCGAACTACATGCGATATCCAGACCACTACTCTTTGGCAAGGCTACTTTAACGGTAGATTGTTTTTGTTAAGGTATTTAAGGTTCGTCACCACTTGAAAATACACCAATCCCACTGATTGTTTTTTCAGAACAAGGGAGCTCTAGATAACCCCTCCAGATGGTGATTTGGCCTACTCTTCGATGTGCGCCACACATATTGGAAGAGGTGGCAGTACCTATACTGGAGGAATGCAGAACACGCAGGCCAGCCACCAGCATCTAAAATAATTCGGCAAATTACAATTTTCATCGAATAAGGCCGGCCAGACAGCCTTTATTGTATTCATATTTTTTGTGCGGCAATTACACGAAGAAAGCATCCAGTGTGCAATGAGTGATTCCATTGCAATTATTAGTGTCTCACTTGAGTCGGCACATGCTGGCACCGGGGTCGGGACAGAATATTTGTTGGGAAGGCCAAGTAATTGATGTAATTTAGCTATCCAGGACAGCTACATTGAGTCTCGGGATACTTTTGCTTGTGGGAGGTGACCAGAACACCCGGAAAAAAATTGACTAAGCGAGAAAGAGAATGTTCAACAGTAAACTATAAAACATTTTTTTTTTAAGAAAAGCTCACTAAGCTATATGGCTTGTTTTCAGAAGTGACCTGGCCACAAAATGATAGCTCGACAAAGTGGCTTATCACGTGTACATTTACAGTAGCCAACTACTCTAAACGCGTGATGTTGATTCTAAATGTGGAGGGAAAACCCGGAGGGCTTCCAGAGTAAAACCCACACGGCCGGGGGGAGAGCCAACACGCGAACTCCATAAATATACAGCAGCAGCAGTAGTAGGCGTCAGTGTCGGGATCCAACCCACGACCTCCTGCTCACCAGGCGAGGTAGTTAACATTTCCTAGCCGCTGTGATGATGCTGAGAGAGAGAGACACGCAAACTCCAAATATACAGCAGCAGCAGCAGGCGTCAGTGTCGGGATCCAACCCACGACCTTCTCCACACCAGGCGAGGTAGTTAACATCTCCTAGCCACCGTGGCACCATGTAACATTTGGTGTCAATTTGGGTAAAACTGCGAATGTTACACACGAGGCGCCACAGAGATAGGGCATCTCGGATGCACGCGAGACACAGACCACGTGACTGATGTCTCGTGGGCCACGTTAAGCGAAGTGACATTGTAAAAAACTGTGCAGACTCACTCAGCTCTTGTAGTTAATGACAAATCCGGGGGGTTATGCATTAATTGTGTGTTCTCTTACCTTTGCGCTAAGAATCGGGGTAACGCACACACAGAGTGTTTAACATCACAGGTGTGCAAGATGGACCACGGGACCAGCACGTTGCGGAGAAGAATGGTCGACATCGACGGGGGAATTGAGAAGGTATCCGATTCTGTCGACCTTGCGTTGACGCTGTGCTGTGATATCTCCTCCTGTTGCCAAAGCTGGACGGTGCTTCTATAAAAGTATTTTTAATTTTAGCAGGTAAGGCTCTACTGAGCTATACAGCATAGCTATTTTTCAGAAGCGACCTGGCCACAGATGATAGCTCAACGAAGCGGCTTATCACGTGAAAATGTACAGCGGCCAAATTCTCTAAACGCGTGTTTCTGAATGTGGAGGGAAAACCCGGAAGACCAAGAGAAAAATCCACGCGACCACGGAGAGAGAGACACGCAAACAGGCGCCAGGGTCGGTATCGAACCCACGACCTCCCGTACAGCAGGCGATGTAGTTCACATCTCCGAGTCACCGTGACGCCTCACTGGCACAGGACCTTGGTGACTGTTTGGACTTGTGTCTGCGCAGGACGAGAGCGAACTGGAGTGGTTGTTGGAAAACTTGAGAAAGAATGACCAGCTCACCGACCACATGGTAAGTGAATGTGATTGAATCCGTTTAAAAAATATAGATATATCTGAATATAAATCGCTATTTAGAGAATCAAATGACAAAACTGTAAATACACCCCGTACGAAACAACAGTGTCTATCTCTCCATCTGTGCCGCGTCCTTTCTCAAAGCCGACGGCGATCGTGACCTTCAGTTAGCTCGGGCCCTGATATTTACTCAGCAACTGTGCATCAGATCCCCCCCAGTTGCATGCAATTGCTCAAACTGATGACGAATTTAATTCACTGCCCTCCCCGGCTGCTTGTGCTGCCTGTAAAGTTCGAAGTCAAATCCACATTGACATGCAGTCTCTTGTGTCAGTCTCCCGTTTTCTCATTGCATGTCCAAGAAAGCCAACTTCCCTCTCTCCAATTATTACCATCAATCTTCTTGTCGTGCCTGCTATCCATAACACATTCATGCTACTCATCTTGTCTGCCCGTGACATTTTTAACATCCTTATATAATGTATGATATATAGCTCTAATTTTTGTTGTTAAGTATACACGTTCATTAAAATGCCATTCAATAAATCCTGTAACAGTCTGTCTGGAGTCCCTGCATGGGAGGGGGAGGATGGGGTGGGGGGCAGTGAGAGCGATCACTCTGCGCTCTGATGGCCACCTACAGCACCTCGCAAACCCTCGTGTCGCCCATTCAAACACGACCATTCATGCTCAACGCACGCTCAGCGTCTACCATTCAACGGCGGGTGATTGGGTTATAGGCAAATGCATCTTCCCCGAGCTCGTGGTGTGAGACGACAGATCGACACACACACACACGCCCCGCTTCCCTCTGCGTGTGTGCGGCCGCAAATCGGCATTACCCGCGTTATCTGTTTGCCTGTGACGATTGGCCGCATGACACAATCTGTGACTATTGCCACATGCCACGACCTACACCGAACGCACGCCTGTTGCCAGAGGAGTTCTGATGCTTAGTACAGTACCGGATGGTGTGTACACATTGCGGACAATCGTGACCCATTTGTGTATTCAGACAGGCATTTGGCGTGCCTGCAAGCGAGTGTGGGGGTATTCTCACGTGACATGCAAGAGCGACTGGAGGTATTTGGACTCACAAGATCCCAGGCAGGAGTTGCGTCTCGACTCCACTCGGCTCTGTAATGATATTCATGTCACTTTGCCACGTGTGGCCAATTACAATAATGCCCCCCGCCAACCACCGCCCCCATAAGTGGTTGTACAGCATCGCGTTCGATGACCGTATTTTAACTCCATTGGCCACAGCTTGCAGATCGATGAGATTGCTATAAATGAGGTCCACACGGCTGGCCCCCGGCGAGCGAGGACTGACCCGCACCGCACACGGGGCGCTTGTTTTTGTATTCCAAACGTGCCACCTTCGACTGCGGGTGCACGACGATTAGCCCCGGACCTTCCCGTGACCTTCCGTGACCTTCGCAGGTGAACGTTGTGGAGTCGTTCGAGAGGCGCCTGTTGAAGCTGGAGAACGCCATCATGCCCGTCTACCGGGAGACAGAGGCGCTGAAGCAGCTCCAGAAAGCGACCGAGATGACCCTGTCCTCCATCGACCACATAATCGCACACTACCACGTGGCCAGCGAGACCCAGCAATTCATTAAGGAGGGGTATGCCATCCGATAATTTGCGCGTCCAATTTTCTGCCTCCCCTCCTCCCCCCCCGAGTGAAAATTACTTTAATGGGCCACGTTCTTGTGGCGCGCGTGTGCTTGTGTCAGGGTGGCCTTGTTCTTTGTTGTTGTTGTTGTCGGTGCGGGCTCCAGTTACGGGAGCCCAATGTACCCAGGGCGACATCGTTTGCCATGCGAGAGAGAAAGTTTTGCGACTCTAGGCTAGGAATGCGTCACACGTCCGTGGCCGGGCTGTGGAATTGTTGGGCGCGACAGCGAGTCGCCCCGCAGGTGATAGAGCCTCCCGGTAGGGGAGAGAGTGCGTGGCTTTCGCGACTAAATGCGGCGAGGAATATATAATTTCGTTTTTGAACGCACACAGCAAACGGGCAAGGGGAGCTTAAATGCCGCCAACAAAAAATTTTAGCGAGGCCACTTAAACTGGAGCCCCATTAGGAGTTGCGGGTATATGCGTGCTGCGTGTTAACAAGGCAGGAGTTGCTTTGTTATTTATTGAATTGTAACATGACAGTTATTATTATTATTGTGAGGCTGGACGGAAACCCATCGCTTTACGCTGCAGTCTCAAAATAATTGTTATGATCTCCATTTATTTCCCCTTTGTGATATTATAAGACGATCGGAGATGCACAAGCGAACCCGCCAGCTGTCGCATTGGAAGTGCCCAGACTGCACGTCCACGAGTAGCGCTCCCCTAACAACCGCGTCGACAGCACGAACGCTGCACTTTGCTCTGCCGTGTGAACTTGAGACGCCTAAGCGGCAGCGCGTCCCTGCCACTCACCGTCCGGTGGCAACCCCTCAAACGCGATACGGAGCCCCGCACTGACAAAGGGGCCACGTGGAGCTGCGTGCTGCTCAGCTCGATACAGCAACACTCCCCATTTACGTCTTCCGCCCCCCACCCCCTTTACGTCGTTACGCAAATACGTCGTCGCATCAAACCCACACCCACGTCGCTGACGGTATCGTCTGTCCTTTCTCGTTATCCGTCGCCTCTCAGTCTTTGTCTCCACTACCACCATCACCACCACCACCACCCACTACCACAACCACCACCCACTACCACCACCACCAACCACTACCACCACCACCACCCACTACCACCACCACCACCCACTACCACCACCACCTACTACCACCACCCACCACCACCCACTACCACCCACTACCACCACCCACTTCCACCACCACCCACCACCACCCACTTCCACCACCACCCACCACCACCCACTACCACCACCCACCACCACCACCCACTACCACCACCACCCACCACCACCTACTACCACCCTGTAAACCGCTTTGATTGACGTCGTTTTGTTATTCGTCGTCGCACCTTCCAGGAACGCATCCCCCCCTGACGTGAACCGGGGTGTCGCTTGGCGATGCTGGTGTACAGCATCGCCATCGTGCCGATGACACGTTCCTCTTCTCGCCCTTTGAGATATTCAACCGTGGGGGGCATCACCGTGGGGGGCATCACTGTGGGGGGCGTCACCATTGGGGGGCATCACCGTGGGGGGCATCACCATTGGGGGGCATCACCGTGGGGGGCATCACAATTGGGGAGCATCACCATTGGGGGGCATCACCGTGGGGGGCATCACCGTGGGGGGCATCACCATTGGGGGGCATCACAATTGGGGGGCATCACAATTGGGGGGCATCACCGTGGGGGGCATCACCGTGGGGGGCATCACCATTGGGGGGCATCACCGTGGGGGGCATCACCGTGGGGGCATCACCATTGGGGGGCATCACAATTGGGGGCACACAATTGGGGGCATCACCGTGGGGGGCATCACCGTGGGGGCATCACTATTGGGGGGCATCACCGTGGGGGGCATCGCCGTGGGGGGCATCACCGTGGGGGGCATCACCGTGGGGGGCATCGCCGTGGGGGGCATCACCGTGGGGGGCATCACCGTGGGGGGCATCACCGTGGGGGGCATCACCATTGGGGGGCTTCACCATTGGGGGGCTTCACCATTGGGGGGCATCACCGTGGGGGCATCACTGTGGGGGGCATCACCGTTTCCTTCGCCGATATCTCCTCGTGGTGGTCTCTCAACTTCGCTCGACTCGTCACCACGTGACATCTGATCGTGGTCGCTTCCATCTCCAGACAGTGGTCGATGTTTGACGTCCGGTCAGATCGCGGTCCCCCCATCGCCATACATCCCTCCTGGCAGGTCACGTGTCCGATATATAGCAGCTTCCTGTACTTAAACTATAAACTAAACTTTTTGTTAAAATGTTACCAGGTAAGGCCCGCTGGGCTGTTAGTTATTCTTTAAGAAGAAACCTGGTCACAAATGATAGCCCTATGAAGTGTCTGTATGTAGAGATTTTTTCGCACCGTACGTAGCCAACCGTGTTAATCAGAGGTGCCTTTCACGGGGAGATTTACAGCAGTCAAATACTCGAAGCGCATGTTTCTAAATATGGAGGGAAAACCGGAGGACCCCGAGAAAAATCCACGCGATCACGGGGAGAGAAACACGCAAACTCCAAATATACAACAGGCGTCAAGAGTCGGGATCGAACCCACCACCTCCTGTTATACCAGGCGAGGTAGTTAACATCCATTGGGGAGGGCCTCACTTTCAGTTCATACAATTCCAGTGAGATGACAAAAGCAGTATAGAGAAGCGATAAAGCTGGTGTCCCATAAGATCAATGTGGACAACATAGTCGCAGTGAGATGAGAGGAGAGGGTTGCAGACAAGACAGAGATGAGAGGGATCCATTGGCTTGTAATGTTTGTGAGTTTTTTCACATTTGAGCCGATTTCGATTTAAAGCTTCTTTCGTGACTGCAGAAATTCATCTTCTTGGTTCTTTCGGTAAAGTCACGTCGAATGGAAATAATAAAAGAATAAAAGTAATGATTTATCATTTTATTATTTCCATTCGCGGCTCGTAGAATGGAAATAATAAAATAATATGAATAATTTTATTATTATTTCCATTCTACGTGACTTTACCGAAAGAACCAAGAAGATTTGAGCCCATGTTTGCTTCGCCGGCACTGTCGCGTGATCGCGGCCTGTCACCGTCGAGCTCACGAAGCTCGAAGCGTGCGAGACGGACGCGCCGTGAGACACGCCGTGAGACACGCCGTGAGACGCGGGCACGTGACCCCTGGCAGAGCCGCCGCCCGCCTGGAGGAGTTCCTGGCCGTGCTGGAGCGGCTCCATGGAGCCGCGCGGTTCTTCTCCGTCAGTCACCCCGGCAGCGTGGAGCTCAGCCAAGTGGTGAGACGCGCTTCGCGGATCGCGGCGCCATCATGAATCTATGTATTTATATATAGAAGCAACATTTTATTGAGAAAAAACTAAAAATACGCACACTTTATGTATTTATATGTGAAATGTATTTATATGAATCTTATTCTCAATAATATATGTTTATATATTATTGAGAATTTATAATGTATATACATATAAAGTAGAAAATATAGAATATATTTACATCGTTATATATTTAATACATATGAATACATTGGCGTCAACAGAGTTGATGTAGATACACGCGAATTGACCGTGTTGGTTTCAACACATCTAACTTTACAACGCCGTAAATGTTTCACGTCTTTTTTAAATGGCAGCACACGGGATTGCGACTGCTCAAACTACTGCTGTTAAAATAATTATACTTTAATAATTGTCTTCATTGCTAGCAGAGGAGTAATCTCTGTAGTTACATATTTGGAGTTTTCGTTGATAATTGAGTTCACAATGCACGCGTCGAATCACGTGATATTCAATGTTGTTTAGATGTTTGTATGTTGACGTATGCTGTGTGTGTGTTATAAGTTCATATTAACCCTGCGGCTTCAATGTAAAAAAAAAACAATAATCTCGAATCAAATTACCACCCTAAATTCGCACAGAGAATTAAATCACTGGGCAGTGAGCATCGTTACACCTATAGTGGTTAAAAACCATTTACATTTTACATAAGTTACAGACATTTGTCAATCCACTACTAGATGAAGGCCTCCCTAATGCCTCGTCAGTCACTGGGATTGTTTGACCATACTTCACTACCCTGATGGAGGGGCGTGTGATCGCTTCCCACTGCATTCATCACTCTTGCTACCACGGGCCAAAGATCAAACTTGGATTCCGTAATGTGGTAGGAGCAGTGTTCTTCCTCAAAGCTAGCAATCGGTAACCTGCACAGGGATGTAATCCCAAATACATCACTCACAAACATTTTCATTTTGTCCTAAATTAATTTCATAATAAAAAAGATTGCTGTGCGGCGTACAACATATGCGTATTGGATGGACGACGGCTGATACAAAGTGACTGGACCAGAGCAACCCCAACGATTCGGTCCTTTGAGCACTGGGTGACCTTGACTTAGCCCTGCTCCCACTATGGGGTGATCATTTGGTGAAATAATTCTGGCTGGTATTTTTTTTCATATCACCAACTTCTCGAGTGTGGTGACTAAACAATGATAATGTTCCTGAATCATGGGAGCGCCCTGACTCTCGCACAGAAAGTGTACGGTCGGGGAACGAATCAACCGATCATGCAACCGAGGTCGATAAAATATCAACTATCACAGCCATTGGCTTGCACCATTGACAGAATCGTCCATGCCATGTGAGTAAATGTTGTAATTGTCATCTGTGGCTCAGAGCCGCTAAAAGAAGATGAGTGAGTTGACTAGATCGTTGACTAGCTCATTTTCGGGTACTGCCACCTCGTCCAAAGGCGCGCTGGCCAGCGTAGGAAAAGTCGGCGAAAAATTACCCCTCGAGACGGGTTCCCCAGAGTTCCCTTTCGCGAAGGCCCCTTCCAGCAGCGGTGGCGCGAGGGCCGCCCGTTCGCCGCCGCCGCCGCAGCAAGTGTCGCTCGCCGCGTCATCGTCTTCTCCGTGCCGATGGCTCCCGCCGCCCGTCCCAGCGCGGCCTGCTGGAGCGAGGGAGCGCCGCCCTCGAGGTGGAGTTCGTCAGCGTCCTGAGTCGCCGGAGCAACCCCGTGCCCCCCGGATTGACCGCGGAGCTCGCGGAGGCGGATGGCGATTGGTGGACGCGGGAGGACAGCGAGGGGGCACGTCGCGTGGAGCACCTCCCGGAGGGGGCCGCGCGCGAGCTCGCGCGCATCGCCTCCTGGCTCGGGACTCACAGTGACAGCCTCGGTGAGACGGGGCGTAGTAGCACGGCCCCAGGCCCCCTGACTGTGGGCTGCCACTTTGCGAGCAGCAAACAAAAAAAAGACGGCGACGTTTCCATGGGAAGCGGCAGAAGGAGGAGTAGGCGAGGACTACTCTCGCATGTAGCTTGGCAGTGAGTGGTCCTGCATTTTAGAATGATGTTGAGTTTTTTTTTTACAGAGCAGATGTGCATTAAATTGACTATGTTTGTGAGTGGTCTTCTTGTTAGTGGGTTGGCTGTCAGTGGTTTGAGTGAGCGTGCTCCCTGTGAGATGAGAATGGTGAGGCTGTGAGTGGTTTGTGTGTGATTGGTTAGATATTTCATTATTTTTTATCCCCTGTTCAGCAGGGATGAATATTTTTTATTTGTTTCCAAGTTGTCTCCCTCCATCAGTAATATCAAATTGTTTTGTGAACTTGTGTGGACATCGTATTGACCGGTAAGAAAAGGAGACGTCACGAAACAGGATGATGAGCTCCAAAAGAGAGATCATACCTTAAATTACGACCAAGTTGGAGATGGAGTGATGAAATCAGCTCGTGTGCAAGAACTTGATTGTGTCTTGCAATGCGAAACCATGAGGGATGGTGACGGCTTGTCGGGGCCTTCATTCAGCAGTGGATAGATCATGGCTGATGATGATGGTTTAGAGATGATTGGTCTGGCAGTGAGTGGTCTGTTTGTAGATGTAGAGACAATTTGTGCCATTTGAAAGGCAGATAACAACACATAGCTTCATCTACCTTGTTAGGGAATTCATCGTGCACATGTTATATGCGTCCATAATGATAGTGACTCCAAAAGTGGTGATACAAACTAATATGCACGTATGAGTTTGACGAATGTCCACCGTGGGGACACCAACTACGATGTGAAATGTATATTTATATTTTCTCGTCTCGGGTCACAGAGTTTTTGAAGAGTTACCAGCAGATCCGTTCCCGGGTGCTTCTGCGCTCCATGTCGGAACTCCGCGAGCACCACCAAAAGCTCGGCGTGAGGTTGGCCCGGCCGCTCACGGCGCCGCTCCTCTCGGCACGCAAACCCAACAAGAAGATCGGTGAGTCGAGGCCGGCTCTCGCATTGTGGCGATGCCTCCAATCGCACGGAGGACATTTTACCGCTCACGGATGATGATGATGATGACGATGCTGTGGAAATGCGTACGGAGCTAGGGACAGCGTGTGGCAGCACTCCCGGCTGTGCCCCACTGCCTGGACCAGGTCTTGTGTACCAGGTCATGTGGACAAGGTCTTGTGGACGAGGTCTTGAGGACCAGGTCGTGTGGACCAGGTCTTGTGGACCAGGTCTCGTGGACCAGGTCTTGAGGACCAGGTCGTGTGGACCAGGTCTTGTGAACCAGGTCTTGTGGACCAGGTCTCGTGGACCAGGTCTTGAGGACCAGGTCTTGAGGACCAGGTGTTGCAGACCAGGTCATGAGGACCAGGTCTTGTGGACCAGGTCTTGTGGACCAGGTGTTGCAGACCAGGTCATCAGGACCAGGTATTGTGGACCAGGTCTCATGGACCAGGTCTTGTGGACCAGGTCTTGTGTACCAGGTCTTGTAGACCAGGTCATGAGGACCAGGTCTTGTGGACCAGGTCTCATGGACCAGGTCTTGTGGACCAGGTCTACAGGACCAGGTCTTGTGTACCAGGTCTTGTGGACCAGGTCATGAGGACCAGGTCTTGTGGACCAGATCTTGTGGACCAGGTTATGTGGACCAGGTCAAGAGGACCAGAACTTGAGGATCAGGTCTTGAGGACCAGGTCTTATGGACCGGCTTCTGGTGAATGAGTGATGAGGGACACCTGCGTGCCCCTCTCTGTAGTTGCCTACTGGCGAAGTCGTCCACCAACAAATGTCGACTTCCCGCGTGCACCTTGTTGCGAATTGCCTTTCGTGCCCTTAAGGCTCTTTCACTTGGTGACATTGGGAAACTCACAAACCTGACAACTCTTAAGAGCATCGGCTGAGCGCCATACACAAGGCACCCGCACTGGAGTGTCTCGCAGGGTCTCCGCTCGCAGGCTGTCGTCCACGGCAAGGTGCGGGCACCCCCACGCCGCGCTGACGCTGACCCGTGGCCAACTCCAGCTGTTGAAACCCACGTTTGTGCTTGCCGCACACCAATCTCTTACTTCTCTTCTCTCTGTCCTCCGCTTCTCTTTCCAGCCTTCGATTGCGACGGGGTTCTTCTCCAGAGGCGTTCGTCTCGACCGCACGCACCCAACCCTTTTGATCGCGGCTCTGTCGGCTTGGTTTTAAAATATAAATATATAAATATCTACGTGTGTGCTCTCTTTATTTGTGAGATTTTATTTTTTGAAAGATGACATTTTATTGGAAATGCTTTTCTTCCCCTCCTCCCCAGGCTCTATGATTGTGCTCCCGAGTGTGCAACGCTTGCAGTCATTATCCAAGTCTGATCGTCGGAAGAGCATCAGTGATTTAACTTCCGTTGAAGGTAATTTGTTATTGGTTTTGTTTTAATACATATTCTATGTACACGTGTCCACGTGTAGTGCTTGTATAAGATGAAGTACATATGCATGTGCAAACACACGTTTTTTTAAATATCAGAATCTTTATTTCGACTGGAGGAATCCGATGAGCTATGAAGCTCTTTTTCAAAGATGTCCCTATATATAAAAATATAATTTGAGGGTCATGTCAACCTATCATCCTTCAGAGGGTAGTGAAAATGAGTAATGCTTTGTGGGAGGTCAACAGTGGTAATCCTGTGGAGAAGCTGGCTCCCGTCATTGGAATGTGGAATTTCCACCACTGGCTCGTGGGTTCCGAGTTGAGATGACCAATGCAGAAACGGTCATTTCCGCAGGGGAGATGCCACGTGAGATGCCACGTGAAATTGTTGTTATATTTATTTCATTGACGAATCGCGTTGAGCAGCAGTGTGCCTGTGTTTCGACCAGCTATGGAAGACAGCCTAGAGTTGGACGCACAGCTTTACCTGCCGTGCATCCCTGGTTTCCTGAAGCTGGCAATGAGCGAGTTTCACCTGCTGGAACAAATCCTACCCACTCATCACCACGCAACGGCTTTCGAGAAGCTTCTGTGGGTAAGGCGGATGTCATCCCAGGGACCTTATATATTGGCCGTGTCACCAGTGTTAGTTTTACTCAGGTAATGTCCAACAGCAGTAGGGGGGGGGGGTGCCATCTAAGCCACTTCTAGAGGGCATTTGGCCTCCTCTTTCACGTAATGTGTGGCATTTACCCCACCACGCATGGTCTTCTGGTATCGAATAATTCACAGAGATGCTGTTTTTTGTTTCCCCCCACGAAGAATCCGTTTTGAATTGCACGGGGACGCGTTGGAGATACCCTGCTGCTTCGTAACTGCTCTGTTGTGAATTACGCTTAAACCTATTTCATTTTCTATTATTTTTCAAAGACTTTGTGGACATTACGAACGCAAAAATGCCCCTAAATGCAGCACGTGGCAAAAAGGGTTTACGCGAAAATTCCCCAACAGAAACGTGCCGCATTAGCAAAGAAAAGTGTCGCGCATTTCCCCACGAACGAAAACGACATCGAATCAAAATCCTCAATTAACACAAAAAACGTCGCCAATTGTCGCAGCGCGTGGCTCCGCTGTGGTGATAGAATGCGAGGCCTTAACTCGCCGTGAGAGGCGAAGGTGTCAGAACCTGGCCACCGCCGGCAGTGCCACCGCTCTCGATGCCCTCTCCGACCAAGGATGCGATGGACAAGCTGATTACGGACGCGGAGAAGATTGCTTCGTCTGCCAAGCGAGCGGCGGAGAGGAGGAACTTCTTTGTCATCTCCCCGCTCTTCGCCGTCATCCGCCGCTTGAAGAGCTGCCAGCGCGGGTTCAACATCGTCCTGCAGGTGAGCGCGCGAGCGCCCGGCGGCCGTGCTTGCCGCCCGCGGCCGATCGTCTGTCAGCTTTCTACTCGTAAGAAAATAAATAAGTGCGCACGCACCCACGCCATCTCTCCCCCAGGATGCTCGCGTCACAAGCACTGCGTTGTACGCGGGGGCTCGAGATGCGGTTGCATTGAGAACTGTCGCCTGATGATGCTGGTTGTTGTAATTGCCGATCGAAACGTCGTAGGTTTACTCTCCAAACACACCGCTGTGCTAATGGTCACGTTTTTGTTTACGTGACAAACCTTACTGATTGGCCGTGGCGGGTGGCGGTGGCGGGTTTAACGACACATTTAATTTTTTGCAATCTAACCCAAAATAACTCATATGGGTAATATTGGTCGCGTAAGCGTATGTTTTGGACAGATACGTTTCTTGAATTTCCCTTCCCCACCTCTGTCCACCCAGCAGTATACGTGGGCCGCACCGTATTTCATTTCTATCGGGCATCTGTGAAAGAAGAGCTTCATAGCTCATCGGATTTCTCCAGGAAATATTCTGACTCTGACTGATAGCGCACGCGTGGCGATGTCCAGTGGGAGCGCTCCCACCTTTTCCAAGAAATCTGGCCATAATGGAGGAGTAGGCCAAATACACCCTCGACAGAAGCTCTCTAGAGCACCGTGTAGTGGAGGCCCTTCCATCAGCATTTGCTGTGAATAATAAACACTTGCAGGGCTGCATGCGTCAACCGCCTGCTGCATGAATGGCAATAACGCCGTGAGGTGATTTTTCCCGCTGTCTCGATTAGATCACATCCTCGGCCATCAAGGACAGAGTTCCGTTGCTCATTAGCAACATGGAGGCTGCTGGATTTGGTCTGCTCGAGGGATTCACTTCGTACATAAAGGTAACGGTGCAACACGAATCACAGAGGCAGTTCACCAATAGAGTGTATACATAGGGACTCGTTTTGGTTTTAAAAATTTCGGGTTTCAGATTTTTTTTTTAAGGACACAATCGGATTTTATTAGATCCTCAGGAGATTGATATTGCGCGTTCATTATATGTGTCTTCGAGCTAACAAAGGTGGCATCACCTGATGCCTCGTGAAGCAACTTTTGGCAAAAGAAACCACGGAATTTATGGAATATGTGACGTAATTTTCTGTCACGTCATATTTTAGAAAAACAAATTTCAGATAACCCAGGCTCGATTTCCAACTGTTTTGGATTCATCTGATAATTGGGAACACATATTCTATATATATTCTGTATATATTCCATATATATTCTGTATATATATATAAACACACGTACAATAGGTGAGATGTTTGTTGAGTGATTTCGAATACTCATGCGTGTCAGCAAGAAGTCCCTGGGTTCGATTCCCGGACCCGGGCACCTTCCTGCCTGCAGTTTGTATTCTCTCCCCCTGCTGTGCATGGGTTTCCTCTGGGTTCTCCACTTTCCTCCCGCAGTAAAGTAAAAAAATAACAACCATAGAATGCAACGGGTATCGGCCAAACATCACGATACTGCAACATTACCTGCAAATAACTCGTACGGCATGTCACGACAGAAACATTACCCCCTACTGCGAAAAACTTGGCAGGACCCTCCTGAAAAAAGAGTCTTGAGACAGTGAAGCCTTCCTGGGTAAGCAATCAGAAAGTGGAATGCTCAACTGTGTTGTATTTATGTGTGTACGTTGAACTTCTTTCGCACCGTACGTAGCCAACCATGCTCATCAGGGGTGCGGGGGAAGGACAACAAACTAAACACAAAAGCACTTAAATTTCGATTTAAAGCTTTCGTGACTGCAGGGATTCATCTTCTTGGTTCTTTCGGTGAAGTCACGTAGAAGGGAAATAATAAAATAATAAAAATAAACATAATAAAATAATTCTCACGTTTCAGCTACAACGCAAGTAGCCGTCCTCAGGCTGCTTGCGTTGTAGCCGAAACGTCGTGAGAATTATTTTATTATGTTTTATTTTTATTATTATAATTATTATTTTATTATTTCCCTTCTACGTGACTTTACCGAAAGAACCAAGAAGACAAAAGCAGTTCTAAAGAACGAAGTTTTCTATCGAGATTACTTCAAAGTGCATAGCTCCAGTGGCGTCCTTCTATCAGAAGGAAGAGCGTTCCAGACGCGCATCTGAAAGCGCGCGATGCGGTGACCGTCTTTGTTCCGTGGCCAGCCGCCGTTTTGCGGATGACCGGAGTTCCGCGTGATGGTTTACGCTCCTTGAGATCAGCAAGGTTTTGTGATTCATTTGTGTGGCAATAGCTTTGTGTGTAATGAGCGCAACCTCACGATGTGTTCGACCGGCAACCGGAAGCCAATGCAGCTCAGCGAGCACCGGGTGGGCACGGTGGGATCTTGCGATACCCGTCACGACGCGCGCCACCGAGTTGTGTGCACGCTGCAGCTTGGTCACGTGTCGATTGCAGAGTGGATCCGGGAAGGATTACACGGTTCCCAAGGATGGCACAGTGCACGAGCTTTCCTCCGCCGTAAGTTCAACCAGCACACTATTCATGAAGACAAATGAACGCTTGTTTCATTCTGTTTTGTACGCGATGCAGCTTGTATGTCCGCACGTGTGTTGAACTTCTTTCGCACCGTACATAGCCAACCGTGATAGTCGGAGGTGCGGGGGAAGGACAACAAACTAAACAGAGAAATACGTTCTCTAAGAAATGAGTTTTCAATCTACAATTAAGTTTTCTATCTTGATTTTGAAGCTTTCGTGACTGCAGGAATCCATACTCTTTGGTTCTTTCATTAAAATCACGTAGGTAGAAAATTTTGTTTTATACCTACGTGACTTTATCGAAAGAACCAAACAGTAAGTTTGCTACGCAGAGCAAACGCATAGCTCGCCCGTGTAGTCAATTGCTACAAAAATAAATAAAAATGTTGTTATGAAGTAAGTTATACTACGACGCATAAGGCAGTGCAGGTCTCATGCCTGTAGACTCAGCCCTCGGGGTGGGCGATGTGGGCCTCTACCCAGGGCACCAGACAGTGAGGGGCACAGGGAATGTGTGGGCCTAGAACGGGGACGTTTACAACACAGGCTAGGAACACGTCCAGGAAGCGAGCGTGCAACGGGCGACGCCGATACGCACGAGTTACATGAAGGATATCAATTGGCAGCAAATGGCAAGGTTATTACCGGAGAATTACTTTCAAGTGACGCAAAATGGCTTTGTTTGGCTGTGTCACCATTTACGCTGAGGCTGGGCACCCAATGGCTGTTTGCCATGACCACGGCTTAGACCACAGGCTACCTGTAGTAAGGAGAGACACTCTGCTGAAGCTATACAATATAATACCTCACCATGCAGTGTGTTTGTTTCAATGTCTGCAAGGGCATATGCGTTCATCTGCTTGTTTTTCAGTTTTCCTTCCCATCATTTCCCGGCAAATGTGTTCCTAACGCCGCCCAAAAACAATTGTGTTTGGCCTTGGCAATGAGAGAGACTCTAAATAATCACGCAGTCTGGTTCGTGTAATCTGTGTGGCCAGATTAAATGCATTTTGCCCTATTATCTCTCACAGGTCATACTGTTCCTACGAGAAGTCCTGGATTTCCAAGAGATAGCCGGAGGCATCCTCAGTTCCCAGGGCTACCAACGTACGTATGCATGTTGAGCCGTGTTCATCGGTGGTGCAGGGGAAGGACAGCAAACTAAACACAATTTTTTGTTGTTTAAGAAATGAGTTTTCAATCTAGATGATGACTTAAAAGTCCATAGTTCCAGTGGCCTCCTAATGTCGGAAGGAAGAACGTTCCAGACGGCCGCAGAAGCGCGTCTGAAAGCGCCGCGCGATGCGGTGACCGCCTTAACCCGCGAGTACACCCCGCGCGCCTGCAATTAAAATCTCCGCCATCGGAAAGATAGCCATTGGCTGGACAACAACGCAATCAAGTTTGAAAGAGCGCGGCTTGTAAATGGCACGAGTCCCAAATACCGGCGCGGTTTCGAATTGCCAGCCCTGGGTATCCCGAGTCATATTCCTGGTGTGTGAGAGGCAGCTGAGCTCAATTTTAGAGATCAAAATTAACTCTCAAACTACCTCGGCACACGAGTCATTGTGGGCTTTTTTATCCTTCGATAATTTAATTTTAATTTGCCGTTCCGTCTTCGTTGAATTTTAATAAACAGATTGCTTTTCTTAAACTACCCCCCAAAAAAATACAATAATTAAAGGCTAGAAGCAATTGGACGTCATGCCAGCAATTCTAGTGACAATTTAATTTGCCAGAGCAAAGTGTTGAGTATTTGAGCTGCTTCACTAACGCGCTGGATGCACAATGCAATCCCTCCGTCACTAGTTCAGCAGCAGCAGCAGTTTAAACAATGGGCACGTTTATTAAAATTCACCCTCCTCTGTTATATTAAAACGCCCTGAGCCCCATCCTTTTCATCCTGATGCTGGACAGACTTACGAGAGAGATATTCAGAGGGGTACCCCCCCCCACCATCACGTCCGAGGCATCTGACCAACATGGCAAAGTCGGTCAAAATACCTGCAGGGGGGGTGGGGGGGGGGGCTCTCGAGAGAGATCTCCCCCGAGCGGGGGCCCCTTCCACAAGCAGGGTCGCGGACAGCACATTCAGGGATGCACCGTCCTCACCTTCACCGTAGCCAACTCTAAATGTAAATGCGACTTTGTCGGGGAGTCATCGGATGGTTGTCCCACGGGAGAGATTCGCCCCCACCATGGCGTCGTGGAATTGTCCACCATGGGAGCTGTGAACTGGAGATGAAAGCGACCCCAAGCTCGAGTGAGCAGTGAAGCACTTTGGACTTATGGCTCAGAACAACAATCATTTTGACCGCGACATACGGTTTTGACATGTTTTACATGACCGCGCGTTGCAATTGAACGTTGGGTTGTGGATGAGTTGTCTCGGCTTTGTGACCTCAGAGGAAGGGTCGCGTGACCGCCATTGTTGTTTCGACTTCGACAACGTTGACCTCGCGGTTTGCGCACGATATGTGTTGTTGTTGTTGCGTGCAGACTCAAGCTTGGAGAAGAACGTCGGCGCCGCTGAAAAGGAGCAAATCTGCCTAAGCGCCTACATTTGTGAGTCGCTCTCAGAGCACACGCAACGCCATGGTCGGTCACCCGATGTGCTTCTGTAACTTCATTGGAAGAATATGTCCGAGCCGACTTGTACGTATGTTCAACTTCCTTCGCACCGTACCTAGACAGCCGTGCACATCGGGGGTGCTGCAGGGTTATCTGATGTTCTTGTCACCACGATGTATATTTGATCATTGCTCTAACAGCACTTCGCTTGTTTAGCTCTTGCCATGTTGGCTATCCCCCAGATCGCTCCGACGAGTTCCGACTCCATCCTGCCCTCTTCACTTCTCACCCCGTTACACAAAACCAACTTGAGATTGGAAACTTTTTTTTTAATTAAGCGAAAAATGTTCTCAGCATCTGACGGTGTCTGTTTGACCCCCGTGCCCATTTGACCCTCGATGCTCATTTGACCCCCGTGCCCATTTGACCCCCGTGCCCATTTGATCCCCGATGCCCCCCCCCTCCCCCGTGCCGTTTGCCTGCCGCGTGTCCCCAGGCTCGGCTCGCAGCCGCGTGGAGCGCGCCCTGGCGGCCATGGCGCACGTGTACGAGGACTCGGCCCTGGGCGCCGTCTTCCTCATCAACAACTACAACTACCTGCGCTGCTCCCTGCGCAGGTGCGTGCCGGGTGCGTGCAGGGTGCGTGCAATTCTGTATACATAATGCATCTAATTGTAATGACACTGATAGCAGAATGTGAATGTAATTTGGGGCGATGCATTTTTTCCCTTCACGTCTTCAGGACATCGAATGGTTCACGGTCATGGTTTTTTGTTGTCGTCGTAAATCACGTGTCCACGTGTTTTCAGTTTTGGTTTGCTGCCGCTGATCGAGTTGACTGAGGCGGGGACTGATGGAGCGTACGAGGGTTTAATCGAGGAGCAGATCGTGGTTTACAAGAAGAGGTTTGGTTCCTCAATCATACACACAGTCCCCATCGCACAAAACCATCCTGAACGTGCACAATGTGTGTGGCACCTACGCATGAGGTCTGGAAAAATGACCAAAACATTTCGGTGTAAAACTGATGCGTTTCAGATAACCCAGTTCCGGCTCCAATTATAGCATTCCCACTGGCGATGTTTACACATCGCACCAGATACTAATTTGAGGTTGAGTCTACCTAGGGAAGGCCCATGACCAGTTCACATAATCGTCACCGGTGTTGGCCGTGAGAGGCAATCGAACTCGGACCGCCGGGTTTGTAGCGCAGCGCTGACTACGACGCTACGGCTCCCCACGTGCATCACTCCATCTCGATTGGTACATTAATACGTCAGACGCTGCGTGGTCTTCACGGAACAATAAAAACCACGAAAAAACACTCGACGTGGCTTTCGTTACAACGCGGCCTAGGGGTCGTGCCAGCGAACCGTCGCTGAGAACGACGCTAATCGTGCCGTGGTTGGGGTGCGGGGTGTGTGGGGGGGGGGGGGGACGAGAGGCGTTAACGTCGCCACTGTTTGCTTGTGGACGCCGGCAGTTGGAGGAAACTTCTGGATCACATCACGGTCAGCGGGCTCCCCTCATTGGAACCCGGGTCCAAGGTAAAAGCAACGAAAAGATAACAATGGAGTTGCAGTACGAGCGGGGTGTGTGTAAAGGTTTGGATATGCGAACATCTCTAGATAACGACGGGTCAGTGGTTAAAAATTAAGCGCAAACGACTTTAAACGTGAGAAATGCACGACTATGCTTTAGAGGTCACCGCGGTAGTGAGGGAATGGTGTGCAGGAGGTCGTGGGTTCGATCCAAACCCTGACGATGCCTTTATAGGAGTTTGCATGTGCTCCTCATTTGTGACAAGCCACTTCTATGAGCTACGATGTGTGGCCAGGTCACACGTGAAAATGAGCTAATCGCTCAGTGAGCTTTGCCTGGAAATTATTGTCAGATTTGCAGCATTGTACACGGCTCTAAAATGTGCTCTGAACGCCGAACAAGACCGCGGATTTCAGCAGTTGGAAAGCATTTGACTCCCGAGATGAAATGAGGAGACGCGTCGCCAGGTGAGGCAGGAGACACTTGATAGACAGGGCCCTTGGCTTGATGAGCGGCGGCACGCCCTGGCTATCGGGTTTCTCCCTACTGTGTAGAGACACCGAATTACAAACGATGACGACGCCCGCACGCACGTGCTGCGGCGGTGACGCAGGAGACGATCACGTGACAAACAGAGACAATGGCAAGGACACCGGATACGCGCGCGCGTCTTTTGTGCGGTTTCTAAATGTTTTAAACGCGCTCGACATTGTGCGCGGAGGTTGTTCGGCCACGCCGGAGGTTAAAGGGCGCAAAACTTGGCCCGCCGTGAATTGACCTCTGCATCAAAGCGTTGACCTTGAACGTGAACCCTCATTAAGACATCGGTTGTGCGTTAAATATTGAACATTCTGTTTATCGTAGGCACCGCGAATTGTTTTGAAACACCATATCATCCGTTTAGAGAAAACGTATGATTGCACACATTACGTCTGGAGATACAATGTCTCTCCCATTACATTGTCGTAAGATGATGTATAGATGCAACACCACTTTGTCAGTCTCCTGCTGAATAATGAAGGCCTTCCCACACAAGATTTGGCCACGTGGGCTGTTTGATAATACTTCAGCACGCTGGTCAGTGTGGGTGGGTGAAGAGAGGAATCCAGGACCGGTTGAGATATCACTCAAAACTGATGTTAGCAATGGCTCAGAATTGAAATGTGGTCGCCAGGCTCACAGCACCGTGAGCTAACCACTGCACCACCGCTCCTGCCCTGGTAACAGGTATTCGTTAGTTTTATTATTTTGTTTTAGTTTACTGTTTACAATACTGTGTCATGGTTTCGAACTACAATTACATAAATACACTAGCAGAAGTACCCTGCGTTGCCCGGGTGAAAAATATATTTCTTAATAACCTTACATATATACACAGATTTCATTGTTATGTAATGTTTGAAAGTTTTCAGAAGATTTTAAATGTATTTTCCCCCCGGGCAACGCTGGGTATATCGAGTTTATACCACAAAGTCGTCGCTTGACACGGGTGGGGTGTCGAGGCCTAGTACCGTGCAGAGCCTCCGGCCTCGCCTAGATTGCCCACCCGGCTGAGGCTGGGCACTGGGGCCGTTAACCCCCCCCCCCGCGCTACAATAATACTGTCTAATCGCTATAATTTTATTATCTACCGACCCTATAATAGTAATTGCACACATTGGGGTGGGGGGGGGGAGTGAAGAGGACGTGAAACTTTGATGAATTTACCTCAGAGTCGCGTGTTAATGCGTGCGCATATTTTTAACGGGAATTAAAAATGGCGTCCACCCCGCAGCGAATGCGTCGCTACCCGTTGCCAGGGGCAACCGCCGTGGAAAACCAAACGGACCAATCGTGTCTCGCAAATCCCTCACATTTCGTCCAATGAAACTGCGTATGGTCCGGCGACACACAGACAGACAGACACACACACAGACAGACAGACAGATTTGCGATTTTATATATATAGATTGCAATGAATTTCAACACGAGCAAGCCAGCTGCTTTCTAAACCTGTTTGACTCAGATTAAATATTCTAGATTCTTCTTCTTATGTCCATAGCTATTTGTGTTCAGGCTGGAGGTCTTAATGGACTTCATCAACATTTTAGAAGTGGTCTAAATTAACCATTGATGTTGTTTCCGAATGAAAATACATTTGGTACAAAGCTGTTATATAAGATGTATATTGTGTTTGATGATGATTAATCTTGTTTTATTAATGCTTCCAGATAAAGTCGAAGGAGAGGAAAATGATCAAAGACAAGCTTAGTGTAAGTCTAAAGCCCATATTTCAACATCTGAATCGAATCACACCGCTTAATATTGCACGGGCGGTTGAAGACAATTAGTGAATCTAATATATGCAGCTGCCATTAATATGCAGGTTCCTCTTAAACATCGGCATCATCAGCATCATTAGCAGCCATGATCCGTCCATGATCCTGCGGTGAATATCCACCAGGCCACCACGATCTCTCACGATCCTTGCGATGTAATAATCCACCGAGCACACGAGCTGATTGCTCTGTCTCGTCTGGGAAGGCAACTCTCAGATGTGGACAATTCCTTGGCTGCAGCTGTCATTGCTGAATTTAGTTTTTATGTTTTTACAATTGGCTGTAATCCCTTCTCATGACGTGTCATGTCCAAGCTCACTTTCCTTAACACTTTGAGTGACGTCTCCGACCTGTGCATATTCTTTCATCCGCGTGTTCATCTTTCTGTCTCTCAATTTGATACTGTGCATGCGTCTCCCCCGTGCTGCTCTGGACATTCGCCAGATGTTCATGTCTATTTCGAATTACACTCTAACCACGCACTCGTGCGTCGCGATTTCTAGGCGTTCAACAATGGCCTGGAAGAGCTGTGCAAAGTGCAGAGAACTTGGGCCATCCCCGATCGTGACCTGAGAGCGAAACTCTACGGCGAGGGCAAACCCGGAGTCGTTGCCGCCTACGGCAGCTTCCTCGAGAGGTGAGGTGCCCCCGCGTGGCGAGCGACAGGGGTCCACACGTGGACACGCCAAGTGGCAGTGATGTTGGCATGGTGTAAGTGTTCAGGGACGTAGCGTGTGCTGTAAGGAAGCCACCGGGAGCTATGCACTTTTAAATCAATCTCGATTTGGAAACTCATTTTTGTGGAGCTGCTTTGTGTGTTTGGTTTGTTGTTCTCGCCCCCCACCACGCCTCCGATTAGCACGGTTGGGTACGTACGGTGCAAAAGAAGTTACACATACAATACACATGTATTCATGTTGTTTCTTTTTTACACTCCGCTGATGCACGTCATTCAACATAGCTGCCGTTGAGAAAGAAAGAGGGTCAATTGAAATCACAGGGTATCTATAGATGGATCACCCTGTACATCACAGACGTATTACCAACGATAATCACCCAGAAATGTCTGTCCGTCCCGCGCGTGACGTCACTCCACATGAGGCCCACCCCCCCCTCATTAATATTTTACACAAACGCACAAAAAGGTCGCACACTCATAATGCCGCACCCCTCCACAATAACCATTAGGGGATGACGTCACTCCACATGCCGCACCCCTCCCCAATAACCATGAGGGGGTGACGTCACTCCACATGCCGCACCCCTCCCCAATAACCATGAGGGGGTGACGTCACTCCACATGCCGCACCCCTCCCCAATGACCATTAGCGGGTGACGTCACTCCACATGGGGCAATCCCCCTCATGAATAATCATGAGCTGAACAATTTTTCTATTGAATATTTCAGATTTATTGCAATATACACCCGTCAGTGGACGGGCAAACAAGCTAGTCCACAATGTGCAGATAACGTGTGTGAGCTCATGCACGTGTCAATCGACAACCCTGGCCACCGCTACAAACGAGGTGTTCCATCGCAGGGGATTTTTCCAAGTTAAATATATTAATGACTTGTGAATAAATATGAATGAAAAAAAAAACATTGAATGTGCGTCCATGCTGACTGAACGTGTATTTATTTTGCAAATTATGTCCACACGCAGATTCGCAAGTGTCTCCTTCTCCAAGAATCCCAGCAAGTACATCAGATACTCGGTGGAGCAGGTGGCAGGGCTGCTGGACGGGCGGTTCGACGCCACAGCCTGACCACCTCCCTCAGGAGAAGCCGCAACAACGTCACGTGGCACGCAGCGTCCGTAATCGTTATACCGTCATTAGGGCTGTCATGGATATGGCAATGCTGCAATATATCGATACGATACGATCCACGGTATCGCCTAATGTGTTGTTAAATATTCCACTGGCTGACATTAGCTTCGTTGTTGTTGCCGTACTTTGTTGTTGTTGTTCTACTCTTAGGTTTTTTTGGTAAAGTCACGTAGGTAAAAAATTTAATTAAAATTAATTAAAGTAATAATAGAAATAAAATGATAAAAAAATCACGACGTTTCGGAGGCAACACAAGTCTCCGTCATCAGGTGGGACCGTCACAGCTAGATTTGTTGTTCTACTTGGTCGCTTTTGTAATTTTTGATGACTCGGGTCGCCCTTGCAAATGAGATTCATCCTTTGCCTCTTGAGTCAAATAAAACGAACTTTAAAAGATGTCAGAATTACTAAAAAAAGTGAATAGTTAAAGTTGTTAATAAATATCAATTGTCAATTAACTTGATGCAGGAGCCATCATTAGCATGACGACGATTGCTTGTGTTGCAATCGAAACGTCGTATTCTATTATTTCATTTATTTTCTTTCTCCGTGACTTTACCGAAAAAAATCAAAGAGTAATTCCTGCAGCCACGAAAGCTTCAAATTAAGTATTAGCATGGCAATTATATAATTAAAGTTTAGTAGTAAATTTAATTACTTTACGATGCTTAAATGGAAGCGTGATCGGTACAATTGCGCTGATTATAATACAAGTGGCAGGGATGTGTTGAGTGAACTTTAGTTGACAAACGTTTAATTAATTCTTAATTGTACTGGAGGTACACAGAAAATCACAGAAAAATACAACAGGATTTGAAATACTATTACGAAAAATCGTGGACTGATTTATAGAATCATACCCAGAAATTGGAGATGGTGTCCTATTCTAGACATTTGTTGTTTTCATGGCGACCTTCATAACAACAACAACAATGCACACAGCACATGGTCAATCAAGGAACGGGTGAAGGCTTCCTCAGACTGTCATGGGAATGACCATAACCCAAGACCATTGAGCTTCGGAGCATATTTGCACTGTCATTAACGAAACGCAATTGCCAATTACTCGATACCGCAGGCGTGTGTTTGTAAAAGACATGATTGAAGTGATTTATCACAAAAAAAACTGATCGCTCTTTTTGCACAAACAAATAAACGTGTTTGCACGAATGGAGACTTATTCTGGTAATTTTTTTTAACAATAGCTCTGCGTTTTGAAATGTGTATTGTAATACATTCCGTGGATACAAAATGAAACAGTAAAGCGTTTCAACATGAAACACGTTCTCTCTATTTGCCAACGGACCCTCTGTGTTTCATGTTCGCAACGAGGACTGTTATATGTGTGACCTGTAACGCTGCCATGGTTGCAAATGTATTTTGCAAATATCGTTAATCTCAAAGAGAATTAACCTGGTTGACTGAAGGGTATTTAATTGCACAGATGGAAGGAAAAAATACATAAATCAAAGTCTATATACAGTGTAAAAAATATAATTAATCATAATTACTTTAACGACCTACACTTGCGCTGCAACGTGTATGCCTGTATCCCATTAAGCAAAAACAAGTCAGGCATTGCAGAGTGAAGTCTAACTTGTTAGCTCACTCTTAACACAATACACAATCAGCGGCTTGCCCACTCGGGAAGCGTGGCAATTAAACACGCAGCACGAGGGCACATCCGGTCCACGTGGAACGCGTGACGGCTCAACCAATGAGCGCACGCGCGGCCGTGATGAAAGGCGAGGCCATAAAGCACCGCGCGGGGAGAGGCTCCGGACGGGATTGAGCATTATGACGCAAGTAGCCACAGCGACGTGGGCGTCTTGTGTCACGCTCACGTACACCACCGCCCTTCTCGTCGGAGTCGCCGCCACGGCTCACGGCCGCGGCTACTACGGCGGGACCTTGCACTGGGAGGCAGACGATTCGACGCCGCCTCTCGAGGGCTTCGTGAGAGTACGACAACGTCGCCCACTCTTCTGTCGTGCTGTGCTGTTGCTGTAGAGCAAACCGCTATCGGTGTTGCATTGAGGTGGCTGAACCGGGTGATTTAAAAAAAAAATCCTTTATATTAAGTTCACTTGCTTGCTTGCGCGCTTACGACCGTGCAAATCTTTCGGTCGTTTTTTAACCCACTTCCCGTGATCCAATCGAGCTGACATTTTCCACACAGACTCGTTGTACGTGACAATTAATTTTCGTGAGAATTTTTTGCCAAAATTTTACACTGTTTAGGGAAATTAAAAAAAATATGTAATTACCAATTGCTTAATGCTGGCAGACAATCATCTGACCCATAGGTGGCAGCCATCTCAAGCCAGAGGACGAGAGGACTCTAGCCGCCACGCATATAAAGGATTTAGAGTGAAAAACTTAGTTTTTACGGGTTAATTTTTGAGGAATGGTGCCTCGCTGGGATGAGTCTTTCCGTCGTGCCCGTGAACTGGGCATCAAGGTCGTGCTGCGTTCCACGGCTCCGTGCTGGGTGATCGTAGGCTGCAGTGGAGCTGCGCGGCCTGAGGCCATCGGCCCCGCAAGCGTGGAGGGGGCTCCGTCTCCTTTTGTGTAGACATTGGTACAGACATGACTCTTACACATGGAGTGGTGGTGAGAACTCACGCACAATACACGAGTGTACACACTCGCCAACTCGTCAACAAGGTGGTCATGGCGAGGCCCTGCAATTGCGCCGCTGGCTTCACTGCTGGCGGTAGGGCCTCGACAAACTCGAGGGAGCTTTGGATGTCCTCGTCTACACTGGCTAGATGTCTTGGAAGCCGCCAGAGATGATCCACACTTCACCCTTTCTTCCGTTTATCTCTGAACATTGTCTTAGTTTCTCGTGCGCTCCCACCCGAGTATCAGCACGCCCCTCCCCCCTCTCTTCACACCAGAGCACGCTACAAGATTGCCGTGCGTGTGTGCGCAGATTCGCATCGTGTCCTCCCTGGCGCTGCACTCGACGGCAAACTGTTCGCTGAACAAGACCTGGAGCTGCCCGGCAGGGAGTGCTGAGCCGCAGGTGCAGGGAAGATACCGATGTGCCGGGGCCAGCGAGGGCGATGGCTGGAAAATGTTGACGAGCAGCTTCACGATGTTAACCAAGGGTGGCACGGCTGAACACCGGTACGTGTGCCACGTCTCGTTGTGCCAGTGGTGCACACGCACGGCTCCTTTGTCAGGCCACTGATGGATAAGTCTCGGCTAGCCCCCGCCCTCCCCCCACGTCCTTCGTGGCCGGCTGGGATCTGCTGACCATGCTTCACCGTGGGGGTTTGTGAACTCTGTGTGGAGCATTAGACATTGAGCACAGTACTACAGTGCGGGGTTTCTGTTTCCTTCTGTGGAGCACAGCAACAGCCTGTAATGCCGGTTTAGGTCATGGAGGTCCATTCCAGCACTATCCAGGCATCGATCCTGATTGCCTTCTAAGATCTCACCATCATCGTGCTTTTAACCGCCTAGTTATGTGGTCCTAAGCCACACCACAACCAGGACGCTTGGGAACTCGAAAAGGTGCAGCATGGGGATGTTTGGCCAAATGTGTTAATGCGTTGAATGCTGGCGGAAACCGGAATGCCCGAAGAGAACCACACCAATAAGAGGGGGAGGGGGGCTTGTAACTCCATGCTCCACACAGGGTTAAGAATCCGTTTGTGCGGCTGCCATCTGGCCGCCCCTAACTTCCACGCCTGCAATGAGTGACAAGCTCAAGTTGTCTCCCATCCAAGCATTGACCAGCATCGTTTCCCTGCTTGGCTTGCGAGATGACGTTCAGGCGCTCTTGGGAGTGGTGGGCAAATGTCAAGGAGGGCTACAATCATTGTTGTCGAGCTGCGATATGGAGAACCGCAACGACAAAATTGGTTTTCATCTGGTTGGTAATATTTTAGACCGTGGTCTTGTGTCTAGTGCGCGTATAGGAGTAATAATGTTGGGATGTTGCGGTGAGCTCGTTAGACATTGTGGATACTGTGTACCAGCAATCTGATAGACTGGCTGGATGTTTCAGCCCGCATCTATTTAACAATGCCGCTCGACATCTTTTCCCCCATGTAACAAATAAGAGATGCGATGCATTTCGATTTAAAGCTTTCGTGACTGCAGGGATTCATCTTCTTGGTTCTTTCGGTAAAGTCACGTAGAATGGAAATAATAAAATAATAAAAATAAAACATAAAATCATTCTCACGACGTTTCGGCCACAACGCAAGCAGCCGTCCTCGGGTGAAGAACAGGTCTGTCGAGACGACAGAGTCTGTTCTGTTCTTCACCTGAGGACGGCTGCTTGCATTGTGGCCGAACCGTCGTGAGAATTATTGTATTGTTTTATTTTTATTATTTTATTATTTCCATTCTACGTGACTTTACCGAAAGAACCAAGAAGATGAATCCCTGCAGTCACGAAAGCTTTAAATAAAAAAGTGGTGCATTGTCGCGCACAGGTCTTGCTGTTGGTGCAATGCGTCGCTCGTAAGCGCGACGGAGACGAAGCCTCCCCTCGACAGCTATGGCTACTTGCTGGCGTCCAGCATCGACCCGAGGACCAGGAGCGACACGAACCAGTCCAACAACTCCCCCAAAGTCGCATTCCCCCCTCTACTCCGGTAACGCGCGCCGCGCAAACGCAGTGAGACTTTGTGGAGGAAAGTCATTTACGAATTTCACCGTTTCAAGTCCACACTTCACGCCAATTGTTGATCGCGGGTTTTAATTTTACCCCACCCTGGAACTTGTGGCTCGGTGCAGGTTGAGGACACAAATGTTGGGCAGGACCAGTTCTGATATCCCTTGCCAACAAATATTAACGATCCCTAAACTGAGCTCTTCATTTGACCAGGTAAGGCCCAGGAGCCATGTAGCTCGCTTTCAGAATCGACCTGACGACAAATGACAGCTAAACGAAGTGGCTCGTCTCGTGAGAATGTAGAGCATCCAAATAATCTAAACGCGTGATGTTGATTCGAAGTGTGGAGGGGAAAAATCCAGAGACTCATCCACAGAGATGTGCAAACTCCAAATATGCAGGCATCGTCAGGATTGAACCCACGACCTCCTGTATATCAGGCGAGAAATTTTGACTAAACTTTCGTGACTACAGGAATCCATATTCTTTGGTTCTTTCGGTAAAGCCACGTAGATATAAAATAAAACAAAAAATATTTTATTATTTTTTACAGCATTACTCGTGCGCGCGTGTTTTCTAATCGCGCCTTGTGTCAAGAGTTTCGATCCTGCTGACGCCCCCCTCCCCCTCCCGCGTGTCCGTGGCGTGCAGCGTGAACGGCGCCTGCGAGTCCGAGCAGCGCGTCGTGGCGTCTGACGCCGACGGGGACCGCGTGAGGTGCCGCTACGCACGCGGCCCCGAGTGCGAGGACGGCGGCTGCGGCACCTTCCCCAATGCTCAGCTCTTGGAGGCACGTGGTACTCGCGTTTTCTTTTGGGTCCATTGCTTAAACGCTGCCCATTTTGTGTTTCTTGGGTGTCAGACATTTGTGACGATGTGTGACGAGGGGGTGGGGTTTGAGAAATGTGAAGTCACATCAAAATGCGCAACTTTAAATAAATATAGAAAACGTTCTACTTACTTAAATCGACTTAATAAATTGTTTCTCCAACAACAGTGCAGCGCCACATTAAATGCGCACTACAATGACAAGAGTTTAAAGCGATTTGAAGCATGTTTTATTTTTTGGGGGGGTGGTGGAGGGGTGTGACTTGTGACGCCGTGTGACGAGGGGGGGTCAATCCTCCAAAATCTCGTGACGTCATTTATGGACGGTCCCTTACCCCTTTTTCCACGTTACCGCTGAATGCGCTCTCTATTGGTGCTGGCACACCACTGCTGATTCAGTCGGCTATATATTTGTTTAATTATTTCCAATGTTAATGTTGGCATAATTTGAGAAAAAGCTAATGCTATGACAGAAGGCGATTTTTATGTACGTGGTGACAAAAGCGTAACGTGTCAAACAAAAACAATGCGCATCTCGTGAGATGCAGACCAGAAGAGTGATCGGTTTAATTGTTCTATGCTCACCGCATTGTTTTTAACCCGAGGCGATTATTTCTCTCGCCCCCATAGTTGTGACTGAACCGGGTGGCCTCGTTCGTCGCACCGCTGTAGTCCCAGCGCCTCTTGTTGTTAACGGGCTTTCGCATGGCCCCCATTGTCACGTCGTGTCAGCCCCCCCACCCCCCGGTGCCACGCCCCCCCCCGCCCCTAGGATCTGTGCGTGTTCAGGTTTGGGGGGCCGACGAGGGGTCTCCCTCTCGCCGGGACGTACGGCGTGACGGTCGTGGTCGAGGACACTCCCGCGTCCACCATTCACCTCGACGAGTCTGCCAAGGGGCCGTACGACGTGCTGTCCTCCGTGCCGCTGCATTTCACAGTCGTCGGTGCGTCCGTGTGTCCCTCTGCAGGCTGCCAAACTCGCATTTGTGGCTTTTTTGGTTCATATTGGCTGACAATTCTTTGGTAAAATTGCCACTTTTTTAAAGGGGCAAAATTAACATTTCGCGAACTGAAATGTGTTTTTTTTTTTACAAATGATTTGACACGCTATGGCCCAAAGGAAATTAAATTTTTAATGATTTAACACGAAGCATCGTTCATCCTTTTGTCCTCCAGTCTCATACTCGGGGTTCCCCTGCACCTCGAAGCCAGCGTTCGTAGGCTTGACGCCACTGCCGGGGGCCTCCTTGTGCACTCAAGTGGGCCGCACGCTCAACGTGCCCATCAACGTGGTGACCTTCCAGACGCCGCCGGCGGAGTGAGTTCCTGCGTTGGTTGATTACTCTGCAAGTGGTTGCGTAATTACAGTACTTGCATTCGAATCAAATGCCGAAATGTGCAGTGGACACCTACAGGGCTCTCTGCCCATGGACCGCGAGGTTGATGCTAATCATACGTGCGCGTAACTAAAATATTAGAATGCACGCGTTTTAATAAGTGCTCCCTGCCAGCGCTGCATGCGTGCCCAGTGCCATGTGCCTCACGAGGAGCAGCGCGTAGCTTCGGTAACAGTCTGCATAACAATTCTGCGACCAAAATATGCAAATATTTCAGCTGTTGGGGTAAAGTAGTGGCACGTTGCACTACGCGAGCCCAGTGACCTGAATTTGATCCCACAGCCACAGGTCCCATCAGTGGTGAAGCGATATCGGAACTGGATTCTGGCAGTCTTTCTCCCTTCCCCTCCAACTTCATCATCCCACTGACTTGTGTGGTGAAGTATGGTCAAATAACCCCCACAAGTGGTGACACGCGGTTCTGTGCCTCCACATTTAAACGTGTTTATTTGGCCCGCAGCCCCGTTGGCTTTCCAGACCAATAGGATCCAGCAGTGTTTGTGCTGAGCGAGAAGACTGGACCCCGGTCTCGACATATTCCCTCTTCAACAGCCAGGCTTGGTCAACAAAGCCGCTGGGGTTACCAGATGGCTATTTGCAAGAGGACTTGATTTGAACTACGGTGCCCTGTGTAACACAAAGCAATCCTCGTGTTGTATACATCCACGTGGCACTATGGGCAGTAGGGAAATGGAAGCGGAGCAGTCTCCTACGCATTGGTCAGGGAAGCCAATGGGTTGATGCATCGTGACATTTTGTATTGTGTAACGTGGACTGCTTTGATTGGAGCGTGGGGCCGGGGGGGGGTCATCTTTGTGTTGTCTTGCAGTGCTTCCATTACCCACGTGGTTGTCTATGGACAAGACATTCTCACTGGCAGTGTTGCCAGAAACTACAAGGACCCCAGCTTGTTCCAAACGTACCTCAAGTGGAAGATCGCCTCCAATGATGTGGGGAAGCACTTGATCTGCTTCTTTGCGGTGGACTCTGCCGGGTCTGTTTTTGGATATTTTGACTCGAACCCAGCACCGTCATACACGGGCTACTGCAGGAAAACTCGCGTCGGTGAAGTTTAAAGAGGTGTTTTTTAAATGGCCAAGCAATTTTCGAGATGCTAAAATGCCTAACGTCTCAATGTAAATGTCTTAATACTCAAATCTTAATCCAGGCATCGTGATAAATAATGTTTACACAAAGCCAGTAGCCGTGATGTAATTTCAAGCATAGTGGCAACTTCATGAAGTAGAATTCTTGCCATTAACATTTTGAAAATTCGTATTTGAGTTGGTATCCGTTTAACACGTTTCCTTTTTCATTTCCAACTGCAGCCAGCAGAGTGATTTGAGATGCATCACGGTGGTGGTGTCGGGTAAGCTGGGTTTAAAAAAAATATTTTAATAATATGGTTTTGTAAGGAATTGCATAAAAATCATTTGTGCTTTTCTGCTGAAGCCTAATTTTGACCATTGTATATTCCAGGTTGGTGAGTTGTCGTGTTTCTTTTGCTGTTGCAGATTCATATTTGCCCTTTCAACGAATACTGGAAAAACTGTCGCCACTGGCACCTGTCCAGATGTCCATCAGCAGCAATGCCACCTATGCCGATACGGTCACTTTCATCGTGACCTTTAGCGACCCGGTAAATATTTACACGTTGACATGCAATGGCACCTCTAATTCTCCTAAGGCAAAACATTGTCACGCGTCCAGTTGTAGACCGCTAGATTGTGCATGTGTACAGGCTTTTGGTAATCTATTGCTGAGCTAGATGGAGGTCTTCCCGCATGGCCCTTCTGTCTTGGGGATTTTATCACGCTGCTGCATTGCTGGCTGGTGTGGAGTGCCGAGGGTCGGGACTGGTTTAAGATGCATTGCTTACCACTGATTTTAGCCATGGTTGCCAATCGAACTCTTGCAGCTGGACATCTGAAAAATAGCTTGATAGGTCATCGGTTTCCTGTTCCAGTCTGAGTAAAGACTCCGATTTTGATTCTGAGCGGTGCCCCAACCACGGTCAACCTATGCCCACCAGTTATAGTTTAAGGGTGTAACAATGCAACTAAATAATTCTGGCACTATTTAAGCTCACGATGCATTGTTTATACCATGCTTTGCCGTGTGGGTTAGTGAAGACATGGTGCACTGATAATTTTAATTCGCACGTAGATTGAAGATGACGGAGCATTCAATTAACAATTTATGGAAATGTATACACTTGATTCGGAATTGGGTAGTTCACCAGGATTGCTTCAAGCAAGCCTGACTGCTGATGAGAAGCCGAGTGAAACCGATCCAAAGTTTCTTCAGTGTATACATGTTAAACTTTATTTTGCACTGTACATAGCCAACCGTGCTAATCGGAGTTGCGGGGGAAGGATGATGAACCAACGAATACTGCAAGTATGTCGTCCTTGGAAATCTGTAGCAGCTGGATGTGTAATAATAAATAAATGTTTGTGGAGGGACTGAAAGGCGAGGGACGTGGACGCGGATGACCTTTGCGTTCATCTGTCGCAGGTCGTTTCCACCCTCGATGCCAGGGCCCACGTCCGCTTCTACGAGGTGGAGAGCGGCCGCCTCGCGCACCGCATCAACGCCTCCGACTGCGCCAGGGTGCGGGTGAACCCCCACGACGAGAGGGAGCTCTCCGTCAGCACGCCCCCGTTCACGTTCCGGGGCGCGACGCGCTACTGCATGAAGCTGGATGGGGCCGTGGTGCAGGGGGCCGTGGTGCAGGGGGCCACTCGCGTCGACTCTGAGCCCCACGAGGAGTGCACGTGGATTTTCTTCTTTCAGCGCATCGTGTTCGGTACGTGGCGTCTGTTGCAATCGTCTGCTTCTCGGCGTTTAATTTAGTTTTGTCAAACTATTGTGAGCACGCTCCCACGCCCACGTGTATGCATGTGTGCACTTTTTTTGACACTGTGTAACCAACTGCAAATTGGAGGTGCTGCACACGATATGTAATCGCGTCGGATTGCACGCAAAATAACTGAGGATGTTACCAGGAGTCTGAGTAAACTGTTTTGTCTGGTGGCTTCCATACGCTTCAGAGGTTATATATCTTCAATGATGCATTGAGTTTGTTAAATACAATAGATTGTCCATATGTTCTTGATGCCTGCATACACTGGTGTATTCGGATAATACTTTGTAAGTGTTTAATGGATTCGTCTGACCCTTGTGGTCGTGTTGAAAATAAAATTGAACATAAGTTGTTTTTTGCAACATGATTATGGTTGGCACAAGACTTAAAATTCAGTTGGGTTGTAAACTTGCACCTTCTCAAGCAAGTGGTTCTTAACCTGGGGATATGTGAGATGCCCTTTCTTGGGGGTGCGAGACATGCCAGATTATTTTAGAAGGTAAATCATCGAACACAAATTAAGCATGGACCCGTAAGTACAACTACTTTGCCATCAAACAGATGTATTTATTAACATTTTTACAATAGAGAACGAAAGGGATGTGCAAGGCTCTAAAGGCTAAGAACCACTTCTAGAGAGTCTGGCCAGAGTGGCCGAGTGTGCCAACTAATCTCTCCATGCACCTCCGATTAGCACGGCCACCCACGTATGGTGCAAAAGTTCTCCATGCATACAATCCATAGGGGGGGGGGGGGGGAGCTTCCTCCAGTGGAGGCTGATCTGCCAGCAGTGGTGAGAGAAACACTACTTGCATGCCACGAACTGCCTCTCCAATTGTTGCCTTTCGATGCATTGACACCACCATGGTGGGATTTATTGGTCATGGGTCATTTCGGCGCGTTTTGTTCACGTAACCTTGACCCACTTCTGGCCGTTGTCTCCCTGTGCGTCTCCCCCCCCCCCTCCCCCCGTTGTTTTTGCATCCACAGCTTCGGGTTGCGGTGGCGGCGATCCGCACTACAAGTCCTTTGATGGTCTCCGCTTCGACTACATGGGGACCAAGCCGTTCCTGCTGGCAGGAACGTGCAACAAGACGGCCGACGAATGGGCTGTTTATGCCAAGAACGAGCGCTGGGGAACACAAACCGTGAGCTGGACGAAGAAGGCGTGGATCTTTGTGCACGGATTTCAAGTCGTGCTCGACAGTTCTGGAGCATGGGTAACGACCAGTTTTTTTTTTAACGCAATGTTGAACATTTTGTAACTTCACATTGACACTGACCCGGCTCTCTTAATGGCTTGTATACTGTCTTTTGTTAGGTGAACGATGTTGCTGTGAATATGCCATACAGGGACCCGTTGTACCAATTCCACATCTTCAAATCGCAAAACGATCACGTGCTGAGGACAAACCTGGAGTTTTCGGTGAAATTCGGTAAAACTGTTTTTTAAATTCACGTGTAACCTGTGCACACACCTTGATAAACCTGCTTATGACGCGGCGAATAACGTTTGTCTCGTTGTTTTCCGCAGGCGATTCCCGTGTTGTCGTCGAGTTGGAAAACCCGGTCCGCTACGGGAGTATGACGTGCGGTTTGCTGGGTAACTACGACGGCAGCGTGGCCGATGATTGGACCGCCCCGGACTTTAGTGCCACAACCGGAGCTCTGTTTGGAAATTACTGGATCGTGGACTTTTTGGGGGAGAGGTGCGTTTGCTCTGTTTATGTAAGCCTCGTGAGAAGCGGACGAGGTAGACTATTCGGCAAACTTCACACCTTGTGCCAAATTGCATGGGTGGGTCTACTTTTGAGGTCAACAATGATATACATGTAATAACGTTTTGTAACGGCAGTTTAACACTTAGGCTTTCGACCAATATTATCCATATGAGGCTTTTTTGGGTTGGATCGTGTAAATGTGTCATTAAACCCGCCACCACTCGGCGCAGCCAATTGGTAAGGCTTGTCATGTAAACAAAACATGCCAATTGGTTACTCGTTCACCACACCGGTGTTTTTGGAGAGTAAACCCACAACATTTACAATTGGAGTACAACGTTTCACCTTGTAATTACAACCAGCATCATCAGGCGACAGCCAGATTTGTAGAGCCAAATGTTTCGGTCTTAAATAGAGGGGGTGAATGTGGTGTCGTCACCGAGCCAATCGGGAGGGGGGGTGTTAATGTAGTTGTATAAATGACAATGGGTGTCTATTGGTTTGGTTATTCAGTTCTCAACATTTGTACACTTAGTCCTTTGGGTGCAAAAACCGCAATATGTGTTATTGGTGGCTTGCAGTCAATCACCATCGACATATGCCGACCTGTGTGTGCACACAGTTGGTGTCTTGACATGCTTCTGAAGCGCACTAACGTGCACCTGGTGTGGCTGGTAGTGTTCATCCACGGTTAGAATTTGGGCCCTTGCGCAGTAACCATGATGAAACACTGCGTCAGAACGGTAGATGTGAAATTTATCTTAGGATTTTGTCATACGTGTGCACGTATGTTGAACTTCTTTCGCACAGTACGTTAGCCAACCGCTCTAGTCGGCGGTGCGTGGGAAGGATGACGACACTCGACAAAGCCGTCCGCACGCTCGTGCCAGTTTAGCCTGGCACGGCGGTGGGCGCACATACCGGTCATCCAGGGTTGGTGGATTGCAGAGACATGCTCAACTTCCCCCCCCCCCCCCCCCCATGTGTGTTGGGTGTCTCCTACCCTGGCTGCCCGGCAGAAGGTGTTAGACCAAATGGAGTCACCCACTTTTTTTGCGCCATCTTATTGGGTTTGTTACACCCCCCCCCCCCTGCACTATTTGTTTTTCTTGGTGCTCTAGTTTTTCTCCCGCGTAATGAACACTCGGGAGTTGGCGAAATACGGTGCACGGCACATCGCCACGCTGACGGTGGAGACGAGACGATGCTGCCGTTCGCCATCTTCCCAACACGTCGCGAAAGCTGCATTTTTATTTTCTAATTAAATATTCGTATACTTCCCCCAGCGGGCTTCCAGACGACGGGTCGTCGAGCCGTTTTGGCCAGCAAAGAGCCGGCACCTTGTTCGGTTCTGCCGACGCGTGCAAAGAGCTTGACGCCGGAGAGTCGGGTCCCCTGGCTGAGTGCAGCGCGACGGTGGCCATGGGACCCTACCACGCGGCGTGCGTCTACGACCTCTCTGTGGAGCACCTCATGGACATGCACGCGGGCCTCTGCCGGGCCCTGCAGGCCTACGTGGACGATTGCTACGCGGCCGGAGGACGCGTCAACGCCACTTGGCGGAACGTCACTGGCTGCAGTGAGTCTGTCGGATGCGTGGCTTCTCCCCCCCCCCCCCCCCCCCCCCCCCCATTGTTTGAGACGCAGTGATGCAGGGCCGCACACGAGGATGGAAGTTGATTTTATTCTCTACACTGGGGATTTCTTCATTTCACATCCTTGCAATGCACATCGCAACATGCTGACTTTCTGGACGGTATAACCAGGGGCATGACGGTATCGGCAGGCGGCACGCTGGACTCGTCCGAGCAAGGGGGGGTGGGTGGGGGGAGCATTTCCTTTTGGAAGGTGGGGGAGTTTGGCCAGCTCTGTTCTCGGCTCGTGTATTCAAGACTGGTTTAAGGTTTAGGAATGGACCCCCCCCCTTGTACACGTGTGCGTTCTTATTGTCTGAGCTTATAGTTCAGATGCATCAGTGCTGAGATTGGGCCTAATAATGGGAGAGTGTTGGGAGGGATGCTTCCTGATTCTTCCACGAACTCGATATGGTGTTCCTGGCTGCTATATTGAGAGTCCTAACCAAAACGTTCCGTCTGAACGCTGGTTTTAAATACGCAGTAATTATCCGATTTTTTTATTGCATCGCGGCATTCCGCTGTTGTCTCGTGTGCCCTCTACACCCCCCCCCCCCCCCCCCCCCAGTGCACAGCTGCCCCCCGACATCGGTGTACTCCACGGTGGCCTCCGCCTGCCCCGCGTCCTGCGGCGATCACAACGCCGAGCTCGGTTGTGGCGACCCTCCCCGGGAAGGCTGCGTGTGTCCAGCTGGGCACATCTGGGACAAGGATTCCTGCGTGCTGCCTTCTGAGTGTGGATGCACAAGCAGTGGGAAATACTTTCCGGTGAGGATATAGATTTTTCTTTGCTACTGCCACTGGCTGCTGCCCGGCAGTTACCGCACTCGAAGGGAGTGATGCTGTAGAGGGTCTTGGACCGCCACGTTCATGCTGGCCCTGCCAGACACGAGGTAGCGTACGCATTCGTACCGCTGGGTGGCCTGAGCTCTTCACATTCATGATGAGCAGCCTTGCCATTCTTATTATTAATGTAAAGAGTGATGTTCAGTGTTCGCCCCTCCCGATTTAGCGTTGGCTACTGTGCACTAGGTTCTACCCACGGTGATGTACATTTCATCGTTTCGTCGCCAGTTGATTTTAATATGGGGAAATTTCTCCCATCGGTCATAGCAGGAATTGTTACCAGGTTGGAGGTTGCGCCTGCCTTATCTCTGCCAATCTGTGTATGCTGCTAATGGTAGGGCTTCATTTGCCCAACCCACTCGTCTTGAGTGGCTATCACACCAATTGCGCATAAAGAAATCGGAATCCCGAAAACTTTGCCACGGCAAGTGGTGCCAGCAATTGGTGCCACTATCGTCTCTGGGTTCATGGAACCACAACTTCATTACCGTTGTCCACCCCATTGCCTCCGCGCGCGTGCGGTGTTAGGTGGGCGACTCGTACATGGACGGGAACTGCAGCGTGCGGTGCACGTGCATGAGTCTGGACGTCGCCTCGTGCCAGCCGTACGTGCACAACGCCACCACGTCCTACTGTGGCGTGGACGCGGACGGCGTCCATGGCAGCCATCCCAGATGGGGTAGGGCGCTGCCCCAATCGTTGATGGCGCGAGAGCTCCTCGTGCCCTTCCACGACGGCCCTGCAATCCGACGCCTGTGCTAGGCCATCGGTGGGGGGGGGGTGGGTGTTGAAATGTCTTGTTGGTGTGCGCTGACTAAAGATCGATGTCTGGATGAATGGGCACCACAGTGGTGTTAATTTCCTTGCTTGATATGCAGGAGGTCATGGGTTCTATCCTGACCTGCCGCCTGCTGTATATTTGGAGTTTGCGTGTCCTGCCTCTCCCCGTGGTCGCGTGGATTTTTCTCTGGGTCCTCCTGTTTATTCCTCTACATTTAGAATCAACATCATGCGTTTTGGAGTATTTGTCTGCTACGTTTCCACATGATAAGCCACTGAGCTATCATTTGTGGTCAGGTCGCTTCGGAAAAATAACTGTATAGCTCCGGGGGCCTTTCCTGGTAAAATAAAAAGTGGTTTAGAATATGGTGCTCGCGAAATGTGGAGTGTCGGTGTCATCTACAAGCATTTGCGTGTGACGTCCGTTGCGCACGGCTCTGCTGTTGGATTGGAGAAAAAAAACAGCCCGATGCCTCATGAACCGTGCCAGGCTGGCACTCTGCACAGGCATGGCTTGAATCTGCCAGTAGAAGACTTCCTGTAATTGCATTGAAGATGCCAATTGTCACATTTAAAGCTGCCGTCTCTTGTTTCCACTGTCCTCCCCCGCTTGTGAAAGCCACGTGTTACGTGGGAGGCTCGAATCGTTTCAAAACGTTTGACGGCTATCCGTACACCTACCAAGGGACCCAGCACCTCGTCCTGGCGAAGGTGAGGTGGGTGACGTGGCCTCTTGCTCTCGGTTTGCGGAGCCAGTGCTGTTGGGCGTGGCAAAACGCCACGGCCCTTTTATGGAAACTGGTCAAATGTTGCAATTACGTGGCGCAACCTGTGAGCCACTTTTCAAAAATGCAGATTTGTACATTTTATTGTTTTGTAGATTGCCATTGTGGCCTTTATTACGCTGCAGGATTGTGTGAGATGGTGGCATTGTTGGTGGATTTGTGTGGGAGAGCGTCAGTCCTGGGAAATTCTGGCTACAAATGAACCACAATATCTTGCCTGATCTCGTCACGAAGCGATAAAACCATCACGCGAACTCTGGTCATCCTCGCAGCTCTCCTGGAAATGTTTTCTCCTTTTGTACATTTACTGTGCACTCCATCCCAATTCTTTTTTTCTCTTCCCCCAGCCATGTGGTTCTCAATCTGGGGAGGCGTGGAGTGTGCTCGTGAAGAGCAAGCCCTTGCTTCCCTTGTGGACGGGCTCCGAGCTGCTGGAAGTCCACGTGTCGGTCTACGGATTAACGTTGAAGTTGTTTCGTTCTGGTAATTTATTGGTGAGCATCCGTCCCTACGACTAATTTCAACGCTTTATGTTTCGTTTACTGTGTTTCAGTCTTCTAAATGTGGCGATTACCCTTTCGTTTTGGCCCTACAGGTTGATGGCATGCCCACGGGCGTTCCGTTCATGTACCCGAGCAGAGATTCCCACCTCTTGGTCGTAGCGAATTCGGGCAGCTTCTTAATCCTCGACACTGCCGCCGTGCTTGGCTTGCAAGTTCACCTCGACTTAGGGGCGGGGTACGCGTACGTCAGAGTGCGCACCTCCTACTGGGGGCGAGTGTGCGGCCTGTGCGGGAACATGAACGGCGACGCTGCCGACGACTTGAGGCTGCCCACCGGAGCCATCGCCCGCGACGCTGCGGTCTTCGGCGACGCATGGGCGGCGGCGGCGGTCGATTGGAACGCGTAAGGAGGGGGGGGGGGGTGCTTTGTTTTTGGTGCGTGGTGTCGAACGCTCGTCCTCGTGGATGCAACCGTTTGCGAAATTTGTGTACTTGAATTGGTGCTGAACTTAAAAGGAGGGGGAGGGGGGCAGGGTGTGATTGCCAACAATGTGTGACGTGCAGCCCTGCAAGGTTTTGCCGTGCCACTGCAAGTGAGCAGGGCCTCGGCCTCCCTCTCGGCAAACCCCTCCCAGTCGGTGTTTTGGCCGCGCTCTAAAGTTCTGGCCATAAGGTCTTGGAAGAGCGCGTGACCGCACTTCACCCCCCACCATTCTACTGATGGGTGGGTTGTGGGCAGGCAGGGGTGGTGGTGGACGAGGTTTAAAATCCCATGGCACCATCGATTCAACTGTCGATTCCGGCGAAGCTCCATGTTAGAATTCGAATTGTGCCCCCCAACTGTTGCGCCGCCGTGGTCGGCATTCCCCGTAGCTTGCGTCCGCTCGATTTTCCTCGCAGTGGCTTTAAACAAGGAGCGCCGAGTGCAGCGGTGGTCGTGGACGCGCGTCTCCTGAACAACAGCTGCGCGAGGCTGCTGGGCGATGCCGTGCTGAGACGGTGCCACGGCGTCGTGGACGTCGTCCCCCACTACGACAACTGCGTCGCCGACCTGCCACTCGAGCCCGCCGTGCCGGCAGCCTGTCGGGCGCTGGCGGCCTACGCTGCTGTCTGCGCTCTCGCCGGCGTGCCGCTGTGGGACTGGAGGGCGAGCACTCGCTGCCGTAAGGGTCAAGCGCTCGCGCGCCTCGGCATGAACGAGGTTCGGTTGACGTGAATGGTGTGTGACGAGTTCGCTCTCCAAGGTGAAGCTGCTGCTGGGAGTTCTAAAACGGTTACAACTGGCGGGTAGTCGCGTTGTGGGGCTGTGCTGGTGATGTCGGGTTGTGCCACGTGTTTTGATGTTGCCGTGTGGTGGTGTGCATTGTTACGTCTTCATTGTTTACTCCACGCGCTTGGGAGCTTCTGTTGCAGTTCGGTTCGTTGACCTCCTCAGTGTGTCCGGATATGATGCCGAAACCATGTGGGGGGAAAAACCCCGTCGAGATTTTCAACAGTCTCAGATTTAAGGGATCTGTTTTAGAAGTGGAGGTTGAATGGGTGGGATTTTTCCAGGAGATTTTGACGTTGTCTAAGGTTTGCTCTGTTAAGAAGAAAATTACTGCCACATTAGAGCATTTACCTCTTTTAAAATACATTGACCTGTGGGAATATTATGCCAAGTATCCTCCTGGAGGGGCTCTAGTTACAGACGGTAGAAGAGGCCTTTCTGGCAGCCGTGGCATTAACAAGGAATTGTAGGGCTACACTGGGGTAGCGCTACATTTGTCCTGCAATGAAAGCTGCCCCTGCTGATAAATATAATGGTGACCAGAATGGCTCTTTATGGTCAAAGCAAATCTACTTTGGGGACACCCTGTTACAGCCTCACAGCTGTTCTCTGCTGTCCGCCTCCTTGGTGTGGAACTATCCCCTTTGCACGTGCAACATCAAATGTGCTCGTTGCTACTTTCAAGAAACGTCTAAAGGCCTGTCTGGGTCGGCTTTCGGTCATCCCTGAGCTTGGCTCTGCGTCTCCTGAGTTGACTTGCCTGCAACAATCTGGCATGTTCATACATATCGTTGCTATTATTATTGTTTAGACATAATAAAATTACCTTTATATTGTCTAAACCTCTTAATCGTCATATTTTTAGAATGGCGTAGAGGGCAAGTGTGTAAATTTGCGAGCAACATGCAGACATGAAGCACTCTGGACCGACTTTGATCTGCCTGACACCTCGCACGCGAGTGGGGGGGGGGGATGGAGGAGGCTTTACTTGGCCCCCGCGCGCTCCCTCTTGTCAAACGGCGACCCTTGACCCCCCCCCCCTTGGTTTGTGTCTCGCCAGTGGCCCCGGCGTGCCCGCAGAACAGCCACCACGAGACGTGCGCCGTCTCGTGCCCTCCCACGTGCACCGACCTGCAGGCCGAGAAGGACTGCGTCGTGAAGGCGCCCTGCCTGGAAGGCTGCACGTGTGACTTCGGCTTCGTCTGGAGCGGCGGTCGCTGCGTGCTGCCCGATCAGTGCGGGTGCATCGACGGCGCCCGCTACTACGAGGCGAGATTGTCGGTCAAGAAGGGGGTGGCTCGCGCCACCGCGGGTTTACGCGGTTTGCGTTTTTTTATCTCTTTAAGGGCGCTTGGAATTCCTTCCCGCAATTCTGCTCCTTATCACCTCTCGGTCATTTTCGATGTCCTGCTGTGGGTCTAGCCAAGTGGCAGCTGTCCCAGGTACATGCAGCAACTTACCTGTGATTGTGTGTGTGTATATGAACTTCTTCCACACATTACATAGACCAACCTTGCTAATCGAAGGTGGGTATTAGGCTGCCAGCGGGGGGGGGGGGGGGGGGACGTCGCTAAATGCGAGTTTTTCCAATGGGGTTGTGTGAACGTTTTACAGCTTGTAGCAGTACCGCAGTGACCCATGGCTTGTGGGCAGTCACTGGAGCCTGGGAAGGGCCAACTTGCTGCTCTAAAAGCTGTTATGCAAGTTAGATAATTATGAGAAACTGTCGAGCGATTTAGTCAGCAATGGCCTCTGTGCGTGAACAAGTCTGTCGGAGGACTAACGCGACAAATATTCGTAATTAAACGTCGACCAAAGTCCTTAAGCGTTGCTACGAGATGAGTGTACCGAGGGAGACGACCATGATCATTGCTTGTGTACGAATCTGGAGTTCGCCGCTTGGCATACTTGTTGATTTTGGGGAGGGAGTTGATGACGAAGGGGTGGACTGCGTTCGTTGACTTCAAGAGCTGGATTTAATTACATCTATGCACAGAGCCGTGACAAATCCTTTCGATTCGTTGTGGAGCAGCCCAAGATCGACTGTCAAGCCGTATAACACCCTGGCGCTTTACTTGAAGGAAGTTTGGACAATGACATAATTGTAACTGATAATCCAAGATCATTAATGTTCATTTAATTTAATCAACAGTCGGGTGTGGAAAGGCAAACTGGATTCTCGACGTCTGGTGTAGAAACCCACGCTTTGTAGACGGTTTCCTCGTTTGTCTGTTTTTTTTAGGTTGGATCCACATTTCGCAACGCCAACTGCACAAGTTTGTGCAAATGCACACCAAGCCGCAGGGTCGTGTGTAGCCCGTTCCCTTGCGAGGGCTTCTGCGTCCTTAAAGATGAGAATCGTTACTGCGTCCCGAAGAAAAGTAAGTCTCTTGGAATTTTGCCTCGCTTGATACAGTAAATCTAGCTGTGACGGTCCCACCTGATGACGGAGACTTGTGTTGCCTCCGAAACGTGATTTTTATTTTATTTCTATTATTATAGCTATTTTATTATTTATTTTTATGATGTATTACTTAATATTTATTTATTTTTACCTACCTGACTGAGGCATATGATGGGGGGGGGGGGGGGGTAAGAATATCACAACCAGAAAAAATGGCATTTGCGAAACTGACATCGTGAGAAACGTCATTGAATTTTATTTCACCATCGTGAAAAAAATTCCATTGCGGCAACATCGGGAGGAGCGTCCTTTTCATTTGTATCCGACAACCCTGCAGAACAGTGCCACACCGTGGGTGACTCCCACTACCGCACCTTTGACGGGATGACATTTGACGTCCACCACGCGTGCAACTACACACTGCTCACTCTGCTGTCCAAGCCGGGCTGCAGCGTCGTGGCCAGGCTTGAGCAGAAGCCGCTTTCCGCTACGGCCTCCACCGTGGCCTTGTACATCACGGAAGGAGCGGACACCATCACCCTGGCGAGGGGCACTGCCGTCTACGTAAGTAAAACGACATCGTGGTGAAGAGATGCCAACTCCCTCGCCTGGTGTGCCGGATGTCGCGTGTTCGATCGACGCCTGCTGTATATTTGGCGTTTGCATGTTCTGTCCGTACTTAGCTGTGGCAGGAATTGAACCCTGGCTGCTGGGTGCATGGCCGAATGCAGCAACGATTGCGCAACTTATCCACCCACTTCTATATAGGGGAGGTTGTTGTACATCCACCAGAAATTGGAATATGGCAGTCGAGATGAAGGAGGTGCTGAGGGGAATGTGGCTTTGGGAGGAAGACGAGCATGGACTCCCATGTCCCTCTTTGTTTCCCTCTTGTCCCTCTGTACGTCTGCATCTGTATTGTTACGTCTAACGCTTCTATCTGTCGCTTTGTCCTACGGAGCATTTTGCTTGCGTGAATTTTTTTTTTTACCTTAAATTGAACACTGCCAATTCTGGCTGTTCAGATTGTGGTGGGGGTGTGAATGGAGGAGCCCAGTCTTTTGGGCCCAAGTTACTCCGATTGGATCCCTGTCGACCTTGCCACTTAAGGTCGCCTATTGAGAATGCTGCTACCAAATTGGATGTTCAAACAACATTTGACCTAGCAGAGCTAAAATGAACTTGTTTTTTTTTACGGAACGTGATGACACTTTTGTGAGAGCCCAAAGCTGTTGTCCTCGACTAATCCCCTCCACCGTTCCGTGAAGGTGTTCGGTTAACACCCACCGCAAATTCGCATGCAACAAATTGCTCGTTTAGAATCTAAATCGTCAATGATTTGTCACACGTTGTCCACTATTAAGCATCCTTGAACAATGATGAGCCTTCCTTCTTAAATGCAGCTCCTGACCAATTACTATATTGATTGGTAATCTAGCTTAACCCGACCCATCTATATTGGATTCGTGGCTCAATTCCCAAAAGATTCCCGTGGAATCCTTGCTGCTGTCAGTTTGGAGTCGGCACCCCTTGGCACCCGAATTCCCCCTCCAGCAACTCTGACTGGGACGAGAACCCCCTCCTGACCGGAGAAACCAACTGCAAGATGATTGTCAGTGTTGTGGATTTGCTCTCCAACACAGCGGTGTATACTAGTAACGAATTTGCATGTGCTGGTTATGTGACAAACGTTACTTATTGGCTGTGGGGAGTTTAACGACATTTATGCAATCTAACCCCCCCAAAATTAACTTGGGAAAAATTAATTTTGGTTTTATTTAGTACAAAAATGTGAAGGGTAACGTGTTTTTCTCCCTCCACTGCCAATATTTGCCAAAATAGGCAATTGGAGGACATTTGTTTGTTTATAGATGCCCCCACCCTCTTCCTGATCTCTTATGACCTTGAATTTTCCTGCAAGTGATGGCCTCTGTACCTTTTTAGAGCCAGTGTGCTCACATTGTACCTGGTAAGTGAATTGAGATTGTTGGCAAAGATGTGGAGGCTTAAACTGTCTTCTCCCTGTAGTGGGGATGTGTCTATAGATCGATTGTCGTATTTTCGTGCAATTTCCTTTGCTCGTAACAATTTTACTGACTGACAGCGCAGTACACGCTGCAGATACAGTACACGCACAAACCCCGGTGAGGTAAGATGTCCTGTGCTTTTATCCGGAATGACTTGTATCAGAATTCCCACCACCAATGTCATGTAAGCGTGTTGTGCTCGTGTTAAGAACTGTGCTGCTAATTCGGCTTCTATTCTCATTATCCTGAGAACACATTAAGGATGCCTTGATCCGGCTTTCAAACTTGTTTGTCGTTGGCTGCCACATCCATTCTGGTGAGTGAACCTGCATGTAGAGTTTGTAATGGTTTCTGTTTTAACTTTGGCAGGTTGACGGCATTCGAAGGAACCTCCCTGTGGCCACTGCCTCGTTTGTCGTCCTGGAGAGCGCTGGGCACGTGGTCTTGTTCAGCATCGCGGAGCCGTACCTGGTGAGGTATGACGGCAGGGGCACGGCCATGATCGAGGTGCTCTCTCTGACCAACCGCACCGGTGGATTGTGCGGCAACAACAATGGCAGGGAGGACGATTTCGGCGACGTGGTGGCGTTTGCCAACAGCTGGGCCGCTCCTCCAAATAATTCCAAGTAAGTGCTGCTTTTGATTTATGATATTTATAGTTTTTATTCGGATCTTGTGGGAGATTTTTTTTTTTAGTTTGGTTGCGTGTCCACAATGCAGCCTTGTATGGATAAGGCAAATGTACCGGTAATTGCACTGTGCACTTGGGAAATGTTGGCGGGGGGGGGGGATGCCCTACCACGTGGTCGCTGTTGCAGCTGTGATCTGAGGAACTCTGCGGCGTTGGGCACGACGCCCCAGTGGGCGGCTCCAGCCGCGAGCAGCGGGGCCTGCTGGGTGCTGACCAACCCGACGGGGCCGTTCGCCGCCTGCCACGCGGTGCGCTCCCCCGCCTGGTGGTTCCAGAGCTGCGTGGCGGACGCGGCCCTGCCGGGCGGCCACGAGCCCACGGCGGCGTGCGCCCTGCTGCACGACTACCATGCGCTGTGTCGCGAGGTCTCCGTCTACGTCGGCGAGTGGCGGGCAGCCGCTCGTTGCGGTGAGCGGTGACGCACCGATTTGTTGGAGGTCGTGGGGCTTGATCCCGATGCTGACGCCTGCTGCTGTAAACATGTTGTATATATGGCATTTGCATGTTCTCCCCTTGGTCATGTGGATTTTTGCTCTCAAGGGTTTTTCCTATTAATATTCGGCTGCTCTGAATTTTCACGTGATACCGATACGCCACCTTGAGCTATCACGTATTGCTTAAGAAAAGCGCTTGCTCGGTGAGCCTTACGGGGTGAAAGTTTTTGGTTCACATCGTGGTATGTATGAACTTCTTTTGCACAGTACTTTGCCAATTGTGCTTATCGGAGGTGCGGGGGAAGGACAAAAAACGTAATGGTAACGTTGCTTTAGACGGCACTGATCTAACTCGTCCGAAGTTGGGGTGAGTTCTAAAAAAATGTAGGGTGCGGTAAGCGCTCTGGGACACACCAGACCATAGCAGCTTATACACTTCAGGACCCTGGAGGTTTTTAACGGGGAGTTTTATTTGTCCTTCCAACATTCTGCGTGTTCTGCCGTTTGCAGAGCTCGCGTGCCCGCCCCACAGCCAGTACACGCTGTGTGCCCAGATGTGTCCCCCCTCGTGCGCCACGGCTGACGAGGAGGTGGTCTGCGACTGGCCCTGCGTCGAGGGCTGCCAGTGCCACGTGGGCTACTTCAAGCACGACGGCGAATGTGTCGCGCAGGAGGACTGTGGCTGTGTCGAGGAGAGCAGCGGCGGGGGCTTCTTTTACCACCCGGTGCACGACTCGCGCCGAACGTGGTTGACGCCGCTCTCGTTAACCAGGGGGGGTGTGACTACTACTACCACTACCCCTGCACCACCAATTTTAGCACGATTGGCTACGTACGGTGCAAAATAAGTTCCACATCTAAACTCTCAATTTCCCACCCCTAGGAATTTACCCCCATGGAGTGGAACTAATGCAACGCGAGGAGGGCACTCTATGAATTTTTTTGAACCTTCTCGTGGTGTTTTATGTCTTGGCCGAGGCTCTTGCCGTGTGGACCAGTCTTGTCAGATTTCACCGAGCTCGAAGCGAGTTTGATCCCGGTGCTAGTATTTGGATTGTGGTGTAGCCAGGAGATGGTAGCGTTCTACTCTTCGGGAATCTTTCACTGCAGAGATGGTGGTTTGTGTGCGTGGGTTTATCTCCAGGTGCTCTGGTTTTTGTCCCGCATCCCAATTTGTGCTCTTGAGAAAAAACATCCCAATGCAATTTGTGCTGAGTGTAGAGACTTGGAGACTTTACTAGATATAGCATTATTTCATTATTTTCCAAAATTCCTTGTGCAATAAATTGTTTCTCAAGCATTTAACTGGAATATTGCTGCATTTTAAAAAATCACAACGTTCTTTAATTTTAAAGAATAGTCAACTTTGGAGTTGGTTGACAATGTTACCCTTGTTGCATTGACTGCCTCCGTGAACAGATCAACGCTGAGTTTTACAACTCCAACTGCTCTCTGCTCTACACGTGCCAGCGCAACCGGACTCTGACCAGCGCACCCACCGTCTGCCCCGCGTCGCAGTGCAGATTCTCCGATGGGGCTTACCGCTGCGAGCAGGGCAAGTCAACTGTCCTATGCATCGAGTCGAGGTTTCCTGCTCATGAGCGTTGAGGGCAGTACGTGCTGTACTACAGCCCTGGATCCAGTGCTGGTGGATATTTCACATTCTGATGGCTGTGGAGAGGGGTCTTGTGACCTGCGGGTCTCCAATTGTGAACAAACCTTCGTCTCAAGTGTCACTTGATGCCTTTCAACAGCCCCAATAAATTAACAATAAAATCAATACAAAATTTTTGTTTTCGCTTTGGCTTAAATTCAGCCCTAGTAATATAATGTTGATTGACAAATGATGATGCACCTCCTCCCCTTTGTATGCACATTTGTGATGCTTGTGCGTTTTTTGACCACCCTTAACTCTGGCTACTTCCGTTTGTATAAAGATCATCCGCGACTTTTTTTTGCCACTGCCGCCTTCTGAATATAAACTTCTTGGTATCAATTCCAACGACGCCTCCCTTTTGTTTTGTAGCACGCACGTAGAGTGCATACCGCTATTCGGAGATGGCAAATAAAAAACCCTGCAAACGATCGCTGGCACGTGGGGGGAGCGCGTGGTGCACGTGGGGGGAGCGCGTGGTGCACGTGCGCGCGCTCTGACACCGCGTGGTTCCCCTGCCCCTCCCCAGATGGCCGCATGGAGGTGGAGTGCCGCGATGAGCGAATGGTCGCCAGGATCCCGAAGGACGTCCTCCTGGGACACGGCGCCGCCTCGCTCAGGCTGCGCACGCAGGCGGCGGGCTGCGCGCTGCGGGACGATGGGAAGTTCGTCACGTTCAACGTCTCGCTCGCCGGTTGCGGGACCGACTTTGAGGTTTGCGCGTTGGGAGGGTTCCCTCGGCCACGTTTTGACGAATTGGGGAGTGTGCTCTTCACGTGGAGTGCTCGTAATGGACATGCTGTTCGATTTGTCAGATTTTCTCCTTGGTCAAAGATCCGTTTGCCAGGCTTTCCCTTTAGTGGTACTCTGCAAAAAGTAAAATTATATTGCTCGTGGTGGTTGCAATTGTATAGATTTTTCCATTTTACCAATTTTGAAACCAAGTTGTGCCACCGCAACCTGCACTGTCGAGAAACAAAGATGTCCATTTGGATCATTTTAGCGCCACAATTCATCCCGTTTGTGGAGAACAAATACAACGAACTACTTCCAGTGCACGTTCTGAAACTTGTAAAAAATTACACTCAAAACCAAAGCCCCATTCTATTGAGTTTTGTTTTGGTAGCCCTTGAAGGCTGAGACTTGTTAGCGTACTACACTTGAACCACCCCTTTTTTTTCCCAAGGTGTCTGGAACCCCAGGGTATTGGCAGTGCTGCCCCTGTGCTCTACCTGACTGACCTCTTGAGTCGTCTGACCACTGCTAGGCACCAAGCCACATAGGACGAACAACGGTTAACTCGCCCAGTGGGTATCTCGTGGGCCTGTTACTAACTTTGATTGTTTAATGTTTTCCTGCGTCTACTCTGGCCAGGGCAGGGTTGAACTTGGGCTTGTGATTTGGAAGGCGCGTCCATTCTGCTACCTATGTCTGACATTTTTTTCCCCTTGGCATAATCTCCATTTGGGCTGGAAGTTCTGTTTTTGTTTTGTAAAGAGATTGGTGGCATTTGTTTTAAAGTGTAATTTTTCTTTTGCAGGAAAAGGAAAGTGACTTTGTGTTCACACAAACTGTAACCCTTGCGACTGCCGATAGCAGCATGGTCGTGACGTACGACTACATCAACATCCTCGTCAATGCAATGTGAGCGTTCACCACATCACAGGTGGGGTTGGGGTAATATGTAAGACTGATTTGAATCCAAATGGAGTTTTTTTTTTTTGCAGATGCAAAATTCCGAGGTTCAAGTTGCTGAGTCAAGGTGTCTTCAAGGCGAATTGGTCTAAAATGTCCTTGGAACAGATCGCTTATGCACGCCTGGATCTGAAGATGGATTTCTACATGGATGCACAGTTTACGGAGGCTCTCTCTCCCAGCCAGTACCCACTGAGCGTGTCGCTGGGCCAATACTTGTACCTTCAGGTGTCGATCAAAAGCAGCCTTGACCTCGCGCTTTTCACCATAGACTGCTACGCTACGCCCACCAGCAACTCCCAGGACTTGGTAAAGCACTACCTCATCTCTGATGGGTGAGTTGGAAATGTCGTTTTTTTGCACGTGAACTTTAAGCCGTATAAGTTGTGTAGCCCCCTGGAATTGTGGCCGGCTTCTTGCCGATGGCAGGAAGGGAGGAGCCCCGTCACTCGAAGGCGCTCGATGGAGACCCGTTGTGGGGGGTATGGTCGCCTTCCCTTCAAAACTGGCCAGACGCTTGTTGCCCCGTCCTCGCAGCAGCGAGCTGTTTAGCCGGCTGTCGAACAAAGATATGCTGGTCACCGCATCGCGTGCACTTTTGATAGGAGCGTCTGTAGCCCGTCTGGAACGCTCTTCCGATTTTATTAGGAAGCTATTGGAGCCGTGCACTTTTAAATCGTCTAGATGAAGACACAGATTTATTTTATTATTTAGTTTAGTTGCCCCCACCCCCGCACATGCTTTAGCATGGTTGACTACGTACAGTGCGAAAGACGTTCAACATACACACGCTGAACGCAACCTCCTGATGCGTCTATCCGCTGGGTGCATAGGAAGATGTGCCCACTGCTTAAACTGGCATGCTTGGGAGACAGCCTGCTTATTCGACATCGCACAGGCAGTTAAACCTATGGCGGCATCCCGGCCTGTCAATCTGATGGTGACCCCTCCATCGATCTGCTGCTAGATGAATGTCTTTCCACTTTGCCCATGTCGGTTTGTTTGTGTTTCACCGTGCTGGTTGGGTTGTTTTAGCTCCTTGGCGATTGATCTCCTAAAATGTGGATTGCCACCGCCTGACTGGTTTTAAATTGATACACATGGAATTTGTTAAGTAACCCAACTTGGAGTTTCTAGGTAATAATGTTAAACGTCAGTTGGGCCCAATACCTGTCCTACTCGACCAGCTATATCATGCATGAATGATCTTTCGGCTTGTCATCTTAAATCTTGGCACGTCTCGATTAGACTGCGCATCTCGGGCGCGATTTTCTGACGTTTTGCACAATTCCTGAAGACGGTCCTAGCAAACGGAGTAAAAACGTTAGACATGATGCCGCCGATCATCGCGCGCGTCGCACACCGCGAACACGCTTCGGGCGCTGCACGACGGCAAGAAGAGGCCCCCTGCGCGTTGCTCTTGATGACAAGCAGTTGATGTGGCCGGCACCACTGCTGGAACTGTCCTGCATTCCATTTCATGGGTACTGCTTGGAGCTTTAGAGCTGCACTTGAGCCCGATTTCCCCTACTGCTGCATGGACGTTTTTTTTTATCTCGACCCCAGGTGCCTCGCCACGAACGTCCACAACCACACGGCCAGCCGGACGATGCAGCGCTTCAGTTTCAAAGCTTTCTCCTTCACAATGGCAAACGCACACCACGTGAGTGTCCTATTGGGGCGAAGATGTGTGTGTGTGTGTGCAAGTTACCGGTGAAATTGGTGCATCGTTACGCCATCTGTGTACATGGCCGCTAATCCTCCCCTGCCGTCTCCACTCCCCCCCCCCTCCCCGCACACTGAAGTTCTACGTCCACTGCTACATGTTGGTGTGCAAGACAACGGAGCTGGACTCGAGGTGCTGGAGGGGCTGCGTGACGCAGCAGCAGCAGCAGCGACGGAGGAGCAGCAGCAGCATCTCGTCTGTGTCCACGCCGGTCTACCTGCTCACCCGTGGTCCCCTCGTGAGGTGGAGTGACGAGATTCCTGCGCTGGAAGGCGAGTCGTTGTGCGCTGGGGACTTCACTCATTGGTTTCCATTCATACAGTGTGTCCAAACAATGTAGCCTAGTCGTTCTTATTGTCATTGCACCTTTTTACAATATTTGGGTTTTAATGGGCGGTGTCATTCACGTGAAACTGCGTCTCAATGTACACCACAAGGGCATGATATTCTTTTAGGAAGAACATGGGTTCTTGCAAGACGCGCAGCAGCACACCTGTACAAAAGTCGACTCGTAAAGGCCCGGAGTAAGCCAAGTTTGTTTTTAAATGGGACTTAACTAGTGGAAGGGACTTAAGTTGACAATTTATGGGAGGGGTGGGAGTGCATTGCACCCCTGGGAGTTGCAGATGCGAAGGCACGGCCACCCACCATCTGGCATTTCCATTTTAGGCTGAAATATCTCGTTCCAAAAACTCCATCCAGCAATTCCCCGAAAGAGGTTTTATTTGAGAATATAATAACTTTTTGGGACAAATCCTTCAAAACAAGCAGAGGCCAGCTGCTAGCAAGGACTGTTGCCCAAACGGGGCCATTGTCGGGAATGTTGTCATATTTTTTTGGTGGGGGGGGGGGGGGGTGGTGTATGGTGGGGTGCATTGATTACTACTGAATTGTGAAGTGCTTGTTATTATTTGTGCTTCTCCATCACCAAGGACATTCATCAAATTCTCTCCATCTCTCTCCCCAGGGATGGTGCACTTCAGCACGCCCGTTATGATGGTTGTGGCTGCTTGTGCCACCGCTCTGCTCGTGCTTGCCGTGTGCGTGATTAAGTTGAACTCTGGTCGTATTTTTTTCCCGTGCATGAGAAAATAAAATGAGGGGCATGACGAGGCGTTCGCTTGAATCCTTTCATTTCTGCGTGGTGGTTTTTGATTTCTGGTGGTGCCAAATTGCTCTCCAACTCTGCTTTGTGTAATGTCGTCTTTTGTACCAGCAGTGCCTCTGGTGCTGTTTCTGTCATGGACGCGGGTCAATTCAAAGGAACCCAGTGTGCGCAGACTAATAAACCTCAACCGAAGGTCGTGGGCTGAAACATCAGACTTGCTGTGTAAATTATGAACACCAAAATCGCAACACCATCGGGATTTCTTGCAATACAGCATTTTAATGATTGTAACATAAATAAATAAGCAATGCATTTAAAAAAAATCGATTGCATTTCAACACTGCTGCTTATCTCCCTTGGTATGTGCCATTTTACGTAGTTAAAACACTACAGTTTCAAAGGTAATCTTACAAAAATTCCACGTGTAAAATAGTGGCAGATAAAATTAAATAAGGCTGTGGTGTAGGGGCTTCTCAATTGGTCCCTAAAATGTGAGTTTTGCAGCAAGGCACTATAAAGCTAAAGGTTTGCACACAAACATTACATCGTCATTTGGAATTCAATTCCATTTACAGCATTAAAAAACAATTGCTCGGAAACATAAAACCCAACCATTCGGGATGTGCAGGTTTGCCCATACGCTGTGACCGCAAGCGATTTTTATATTTTCCACCGGCACAAATGGTCAAACAAAAGCCCTTGTAGGTTTTTGTCGCAGTTGTGCTGTTGCAGCTCTCCCCAACGGGTTTTGCCAAGGGTTGGAGTTTGCGGTTTCCCCACGATGGGGCAGTAGTTCCTGAAGACACTCCTCCCCTGGACACGGAGCAGAACGTCGGACATGCCGAAGGCAATGTGGCAGCAACCCAAAACCGCGCACACTGAGGGTTGATCTGCCGAATGTGCTTGTGCTTCACGACGACCTACTGTGCAACCAGCAGGTGACAGTTTTGGATTTCTTTGGTCTTGGTTAAGCCAAATATTGTGTGCAGTAAATACTCCATTACGGTCTGAAATGCTGAAGGACTCAAGAAACGAAACGCCAACCATTTACTTGTATCCATGCTGCTGGGGCCACTTGCGGCAAGGCATGTACTTATCCATCCTAAGTTACTGGCCCAGGTGTGATTGGTGCATTCCTGATAGCTTGCATTTGGTAGAATCCTCATCTTTTAATCTGTAATAACATCCATTGATCCATGACATTGTGACCTTTGCCCCAAAGCGGTTAATGATTCTGCCTTGGTACGAGTTTCATTTGGTTTGCAACGTCAATGGTGGGAGGGGGGAGGGGCTTCAACTGTCTTGCACATCAAGTGAAGTGCTGGAATTGGATGACCAACAACTTGGGTGCATTCGGTCGTGCTAAAAAATAATGCAGTCCTATAACAAGAGTTTGGGTTTGTTTTTGGAAAGGCAGTCTTGACAGCGAAGCAGAAGGGTGGTATTTTTGAGATCGATTGCAATCTGGCAAAATCCATCTTTTTGGCACGGTTCTAAGGCTGCAAATAAACTCTTCGACTAAATAACACTTGTGGTGTTATTGATGGAACGGTTTCACGTTCGTGTGTTTTGAACAGAAGCAGCACCAGCTTTAGGCATTGATAAATGCTATCCAAAGCCCTTCGTGTGATTTATAAAAACTTTTTTTTGGTTCAGCTAAAGTCATTTCGTTCATTTAAATGCTTTTTTAAAGAATGTGCAAATGAGTGAAACATTTCACACCCCGTGAAGGTTTGGATCCAGGTCGTATTTTTCACAGAATTCTTCCGTGAAGGGAATGCAGGTGAGGTATTCGCACCAGGAACAGGTGATGGGGTAGACGTAGAACCACACCACCAGGGCAGCCGACAGGCCCACAAACACCAGCGACGACGCCATGATCTGGAGACGCTTGCGGCACTTGTCCAGCCGCCCAAACGTCACGTAGGGCAGGAAGGCGAAGGACAGCATGAGCCCGCTGAGGAAGCCGAAGAAGTGTGCAAAGTTGTCGACCCAGGGCAGCATGCCGAATGCGAAGAGGAACAGGACGATGCCCAGGAGCTTGGCGAGCGCCCGCCACGGCCGAGTCAGCACCTGCCAGCTCTGCAGCAGCTCCACGAAGAGGCATGCCAGGATTCCGAACTGCGAGCCAGCTGGTCCCACCTGCAAGAAGAGGTCTGGTGGGTGGAGACGTGTTCTATGTACAGACCACCCCCCTTCCTCCTAAACTTGCTGGACACTGCTGCCCCCATGGTACAAGGGTCGGCAAGCACGGTGCTTTCTATCGTGGGGTCAATGGTTCAATTTGATCTGGAGCAGCAGGTAAAACAATGCCACGTTTTATGAAATCGTGTGCCCATCGCTCCCCCTCTGTACACGCAGCCGTATTTACAGGGGTATAGCACGTGGAGTGGATTCACAGTGCCATGGTCTTAACACATTCAACGTCGAGGTGCTTCTCTATGTTGGTGCTAATGTTAAGAATCTTTAGTGGCTGCAATCTGTCTGACGTGTTACTACAGCTTGCCCTTTGTCATTCTGTCACGTTAATTAATTTCCTTTTAGGAAGTACACATTGATCACAACGCGGCGTTATTGTCTGCAGCCTATGGCACTTTCAAACCGTCATGGCCTGGTCTGTGAACATTCCTTTTAAAATAAAATTCATTTTCACACGTGCGCAGGATGCAGTTCCATACCTCGGCCCTGTAGGGCAGGAAAATGGCCGAGGCCAAGTTGCCCGTGATCCCACTGAGGAGGTAGATTATGGATATGCGCAGCCACCCCGCCAGCTTCTCGAGGTCCCGCAAGACGGTCATTTGGAAGCAGACCGAGAGCAGGCAGTGCAGTATCCTGCACGGGGAAGGTCGCAGAACGCACGGCAAGAAACGAGCTGGCGTCAACCACTTCCAGTTTATTTTTTATTTCGCATCGTTGAGTGCTCGCACTGCATCCCCGCGTGTTTTTTGTGATTTTTCGCGCGGTGGTGATGGCTCCAGAGCTGTGGCAAGGCGTTTCGCTACGAATGCGGCAACCCGACTTCAGATTCCCACTCATGGCTGCCACCTCCGGCGACTTATCCAAACCGGTTCTGGCCCTCGCCTAGATCAACTCTGCCTCAAATGAGTACCTGGTGCAGTGTAAACATTGCCGCCCCTCCCCCCCCGCCCCTCCCCCCGCCCACCTTCCCCCCCCCCCACCCGCCTTGCCGGACTTCATAGATGCGAGCTAACAGCACTTACCCCAACAGTTTGTGTAGGCGAGACTGGCGGGTCATTGCCAGGTTTTGGATTGGCCCCTTTAATGGACCCCCATAGTGGCAATGACCTAAATCCAATCTCTCTATCGCTTGCGTGAGCGGGGGAATTTGTTGGAGGTAGATTAGTGGTGCAAACGTGTTTGGGCTGGAGCATGTGCGAGTTGGCACGCTGCAAGTGGCCCAGAGATGCGACGGCCATCACGTGACTGCTCCATGTGCAAGTGCCCAGCTGCGTGCACCGCATGTCCATAGCACAACATTTGTTTTCTGGCCTTAATCCGGCAGCAGATGAGCTATTGTGTGTGTGTATATATGAACTTCTTTCGCACCGTACGTAGCCAACCGTGCTAATCGGAGGTGAGCGGGGAAGGACAACACACTATAAACACAAAGCAGTCCTAAATAAATTAGTTTTCAATCCAGATTTAAATGTGCATGGCTCCCAGTGCTCTCAAAATGTCGGAAGGAAGAGCATTCTAGACGGTCGCAGAAGCACATCTAAAAACGTGTGCAGTGACGGACTTCCTTCGATGGCAAGCCAAAAGTCACTGCTGCGAGGATGACCGGAGTTCACGTGATCGTCATGCTCATTGATGTGTGGTGTGCGCGCGCAGGGCATTCCAGCTCACCCAGCATGTAGGAAGAGCGACAGCCACAAGCGGTAGAACTGATCAGGCACCTCCGGGTTGAGGAAGGGCAGCAAGCCACACACATCGTGCATGCAGTACACCTGGGACCACAGGCACGCGTGTGTGCCGTGCCACCCACAGAGCGATGATTAATTCACATTCCTGCATAGGTTGTTGTGGTCTCCGATGGCTTTTTGGGTTGTACGCTGTGGCGTTCGGCATATCCGGCGTTTGACTCCATCAGCTGGGGAGCTCCAGAAACGACTTTATCAACCTTGATGTGCTCTGTGCACAGTTGCACTAATCGCAGCGAGTAAAGCTGTCGAGCCAGTCTGATCTTCAGTAACTGAAGTCACCTCCCGGCAAGTGGAGTAAAACGTCAGACGTGCCACACAACGCAAGGTACCACCCGAAAAACCCAGCGGCGAATTATTAATTTGCATTGTTCGTATAGTATGGATGATGGTACATCATTGCAGTGTGTTTTGCTTGGTACCTGCGAGCACAAGGCTGCTTTTTCATGAAAGTAGCCGTTCATGAAGTCGCAGTACTCCCTTGATGTAATTTCACATCTGTGTCCAAGAATGCAAAATTATTGCGATTTGATTAATGCACAGTAGATGGCACATTGTCGGTGTGGCGAGTTTACAAATCTGACGATTTCAAGATGAGCCTCCATGTGCAGCACGGTTGCAAGAACAGGAGCACGGACATTACTGAACCGTGTATCTATTCATTGACCCCCCCCCCCCCCAGGAATTGGCTGGCTTCAGTCTGCAATTGAAGGCTGCGCTTAATCACGTTCCAACAACGATAAATTAAATGGTGGCCTTGTGAGCACGGCCGAAGTCCAATCCGTTCATCCCAAACAGCGCACTGCCCGTCATACGCTTATACAGGAGATACACATGCTATACATGGAGGAACTCGTGATGACATCGAACGTATTGCGAATCTTTGCATACGGTTGTAATGCTCTGTTGGTTGCTTTTTTAAATGCCACACGAAGGGCGGAAGACGACGACGACTGAAATTGAGAGCTGAATGCATCGCTGACCGTCCTTTGGTACCAATGCAGCATGGGTGTCCAGTGACGTCGCAATCCATGTGTGCGAAACTGGTGAAGTTTCCCAGGGCCACTTTTGTGCAAATCTGAAAAAAGAAAAAAAACGGAGAATTTAAGCTTTTTTTTAAAAAGAACCGGCAAAACAAATGAACTTTTTTTTAAACCAAGAAGTTATTTTTGTGAAACAAAAGAACACTGCGATGCTTGTGTCGGGGGAAACACTTGAGGAGGATTTTACCGGCCACTTTGTGATGTTATCCGGCCACTCGTGAGGCGGCACCGAAGCCGGCTCTTCGCAAATTCTGTGCAACAAAAAGGGAGAGAGACGATTTTTTATTTCGCTAATCGCGACGACGAAAACGAATGCGTTTTTTTATTATTGTGGGTGCAACCGTCATTTTTTTTGTTACTTGCCTTGGGTCCTGCCCACAAACTGCCCCAGATGTTCTGGCCACTTCTCCGAGCGAGGGAGAATCGTTTTCTGGCCACTTGATCCACGTTGACAGCGATTCCTGCACGAATCACGTGATAAAAACTTAAGTACGTAAATTGCAACCATTCTTGGTTGAAAAAAACAATATATATTTGAATCTATTAAATATGTACAGTCCATTTAAACCCTCGGAAATGTTCAAGAAACGCTGGTTTGTATTTCACCTGAGAACATTTACTCGAAGTTGATACCACAGGTTACTGCTCCCCTTTCACAAACCGGTTTGGGGTGAATATTGCAAAGAGGTGTAACCAATAGCTCTCTGATGTGTACAAGTTGGTCCGCCGTGTTGTTTGGTTACGTCTGTTTCGCTTCACCTACTGGTAGCTTCTTCTGGAACGTTCTCCGCTCCCCCCCAGCATGTGGCGCGAAACGTCGGGCATCGTGCCAAGCGATACAAAACGGCTCCGCAGCGCAACTGCGAAAACCTAACGCAGTAGTTGGTGTTTCGATTTAAAGCTTTCGTGACTGCAGGGATTCATCTTCTTGGTTCTTTCGGTAAAGTCACGTAGAAGGGAAGTAATAAAATAAGAAAAATAAAACATAATAAAATAATATAATAATATAATATAATAAAATAATATATTTTGTTATGTTTTATTTTTATTATTTTATTACTTCCCTTCTACGTGACTTTACCGAAAGAACCAAGAAGACAGTAGTTGGTGGTTTTTAAGCGACCGTGCGTTTTTGCGTTGACGTCCCGTGGCCCCCCTCTGCCCTGCGTTGCACGTACGGAGCAGTCCTTGCGCGACGTCTGCACGCATCCCGAGCCGTCGTTGCGGACGCAGCACCCGGACTCGCCCTCCGTCGCTTGCGCCCGCTTGATCAGATTGAACACCTGCATGTCCTGCCTCATGCACGGGGAGAACTTTGCTCCGAGGTGGATGAGAGACTCCTGGGCACGTCGGAAAGAATGGGACGAGATTTCAATGTATGGTGCGTGTTTTTTATTAGAAAGATTTTTAATTGTGGTTTCGCCGCTGCAACTCCAAGTGCCCTGACAACCACGTCTAATCTCGACCATTCCGATGCCCTGCTGCGGTCTAGCCAAGGAGAGGGGGGGGACCCCCCAGTGTCGGCTATCCCTGTGCGGTACGAGCCGTACACAGCATTGGTCTGCAAATGGGTATTCGCGTGCCAGTACGGGGGCGATGTTGCTATGTGGTATTTCCCAAGAAAGTCATTTTCTCAGTTACCACATTTCCTAAATTTGATCGGGACTGCCAGGAATTCGCACCTGTTGTGCCGTCGGCAGGAATTGAATTGTACCGAGATCTAGTGGAATTGTTATTTTTTTTAATAACAGTAAACTGCACAGTTTTGATCGACCAACGCTGCCTGAAAAATATATCCTGTGTTTTGGTCTGTGGATTAACGTGGCAATCCAATTTGCGGATGCAGTAATAGCGTTACATTTTGACATTTGGGTCATGTCACCGGCACAGGGTCCCTCTTCCATTTCAGCAGGCTGGTGAGGCTTCCTCAATGGTTTCAGTCAAAACGCCCATGAGCATCTTAACACGAGCCCATAAACAATTAGCAAAGTAAATTTTTCATAATCGCGTCTTACCGAATTTGGGCCAATCCAAAAGTTTTCATGCTGCAGATACGTAGCGCTGTCATATATTCCTTTGTGCGTGAGAATCTGCAAGTGGTGAAATACAATTCCAGTTAAAGCGCGCACACAAATACATTGTCAACACTGGCAACGCTGCCGTGTTGACCGCTCAACCACGTTTGTGTAGTTGAAGAAGACAGCAGAAAACAGGGTGATTAACACAAAAATACCACTCTCTACGGGACGTTTTTGGCAGTATCAAAGTTTGAAAAATAATAACAGCTTTTCCACTTTCTGGCAATAAAACTGGCGTTAAGATGTTCAAACGCTGGTGAGACATTAAATACTGTGTGGGTGGTGAAATCAATCGTGCCTCCTAGTACGCACATAATCCTATAGCAAATTATACTCCTCTAGAATATGCATAGCAATTATTGGAGGCCCTACTCGCACAGGGGCCTCCTGAGACACGGTGAGGCTTTCTCCGAGGGTAAACGAGAAGAAATAACGTTAGCGATAAAGGGGTAAGGGAAACGGAGAGGTCGTCTCACCGTGCCAGACGTCTCGTGCTGTACAAAGCCGACGGGAGCAATCCCGTAGATGCACACGGCCAGGATGGTGATCAAGATGTGCACAAACGTAATCCAATACGTGAAGTATGGCCTGCAAGACATGACGAGCGCGCACACGAATATACAAAATAAAACTCTTATACATAAAATGTTATGGTTCATTTATAACGCGTGTGAGTCTCAAACCATGGCTCTCGTTTGAATTTTTCTCTAATATACATTGCAGGTGGCAGCCACAGCACAATTAACATCTTTGAGTGGCCAATACAAGCAAATTGCACTCTCAAACACTTTAATAAGCAGCACTGTACAGAAACTGCCATGTAGTGACATAATCGAGCTCTGCCTGTATTTGCCCTCTAAGCTTTTTATCCCGCTACTCGCTTTCATTAGCCGCATACAACAACTGGTATTTACAGTGTTCTAAATGGACACGTAGCAGTGCCAGCATGAAAACCTCTTCACCCTGCATGCCGCGTTCAGAAAATGCCGTGGTGTCGGGCAAATGCCGTTGGCCGTTCAGGGAAGTGCAGAATGGCGTACCAGTTCGGATGCGGGGCACACTTCCACTCCCGGTGCATCGCTAAATGTACGTATTGGCAGTACACCGGTACGGCATAACACTGGTCCTCCGTGGAAGTCTACAATACAAATTTAAACCGACACCCCCATTCGTCTTCCGACTGCTTTGGCATCCCGTGAACCGATTTTGCGAATCGCGGGAAAATTAAATTTTTTGCGTTTTAATTCGATTCATCGCACACCGGTGTACCGCCAATCCGTTAAAATGTCACCTCCTAGTGGCACCAAATTCTGCTGTGGCACGCGGAGCAGAAGTATCGGCGGTGCCCGCACGCAGGCGCACACCTGTGGTCGTCCAGCTCCTCCAGCCGCTGCTTGGTCACGCTGTCGATGCGCTTGCGGTACGTGCGGTTGGTGAGCCGGCCCACCATGCCCAGGCCGTACGGCCGCTTCTCGCGCACGAACGCCAGCTCGTGCACCAGCCGAGGGATGCGCTTGCCCCGCCGCCGCTGCACGCAAGTGCTCACCACCTCCTGCCGCAGAGGGACGCGGGTGCCCGCCGCCGTCGCCTGCTGCTGCTGGGCGGTGGTGCTACCGGGACTCGGCTTCCTCCACCCTCTCTCCGGCCTGCGGCATGACGGGTGGACGGTGCGTGGCATCAGCCTCCGTGTCTTCCTTGATCTGCTAGCCCGTGCATCCGCTCAGGGCCCAAGTGAAGTTTTATAGGGGCCCGGGGCTAGCTCTAACTTGTTTCGTCACCATCCTTGCCTAATGCCCAACGCTCCATGGTTATTCACCTTTTGGCGGTTTCAGTTCTCGATTTTAAACGTGATGCGTCAATTGCAAAACTAAATCAAAGTTGAAGTAAACAAAACTATTTTAATTTGTTTCACAACTGGTAGTAGAATACAAAGTCATGCCTTAGTTGCAAATTGTGTACGTGATTTATCATTGCGCTACAATATTGGATTACAATCATTATAAAGCCGTATATATATTTTTGGGGGCCCCTAAAAATACTGGGTTCTGTCCACTTGCCACACGAGTCCGGCCCTGGTGCCCACTCACTGCGTTTAAACTAAACCGTGAAATCGGCCCACGAGCTATGTGAGATGCAGAATTAATTTCGGAGATGTCTGGGGAACGTGTAACGGCAGATGCCGGTAGCTTGATATTCCATTTGTTTAAAGTTGTTCACCGCATTCAGACTGTGGAGTGCCCTTGAGCCGTAACGCTGTGGGACGTTATGTTGGTTAAGGCTCCCTCCTTGGGCTGCTGGACAACGATACCGAAATCCCGACGGCAGACCGCTCGAGTGGTAGGGTCCGGATGTGAAATATTCCACGTGCTAATCTCGTACGAGACCATCACGGTGAAATGCGGTGCGGTAACCCTTATTTATTTATTTGGCTCTGAAACTCTGCATGCTGCATCACTCAGTGCATCTGGGCATTCGTGCACGCCGTAAATAAAACGCACGTCAAAGTCGAGAGTGGTGACAGTCAGAATCTGTGACCTGTGCTTCATTCCAAACGATGGGCTCAATTTTAAAAGACGATAAATCTGCGGCACAACGCTGCGGCCCTGCACGTCCGCGTTGTCTGTCCGAGCCGCCTATCCCGCTACGCGCCACTCACTTGTCGCGGAAGTTGTACACCTCCCCCCCCCCCACCGCCATGGTTGGATCAATAATAATAATAATTTACAACAACAAAAACAGACGATTATAACAAGAGCTAACTGCCACAATACAGGTGTTTTGGGTTAGATTGCGTAAATATATAAATGTGTCGTTAAACCAGCCACCACTCGATACAGCCAATGAGTAAGGTTTGTCACTGTGTGTGTGTGTGTCTGTGCGAGTGGTATGCACAGGTGTGTGTGTGAGTGGTATCTACAGGTGTGTGTGTGCGTATCTGTGTGAGTGGTATGTACAGGTGTGTGTCTGTGAGTGGTATGTACAGGTGTGTGTCTGTGTGAGTGGTATGTACAGGTGTGTGTGTCTGTGTGTCTGTGTAAGTGGTATGTACAGGTGTGTGTGTGTGTCTGTGTGTGCGTGAGTGGTATGTACAGGTGTGTGTGTGTGTCTGTGTGTGTGAGTGGTATGTACAGGTGTGTGTGTGTGTGAGTGGTATGTACAGGTGTGTGTGTGTCTGTGTGTGTCTGTGTGTCTGTGTAAGTGGTATGTACAGGTGTGTGTGTCTGTGTGTGTCTGTGTGTGTGTGAGTGGTATGTACAGGTGTGTGTGAGTGGTATGTACAGGGGTGTGTGAGTGGTATGTACAGGTGTGTGTGTGTGTGAGTGGTATGTACAGGGGTGTGTGAGTGGTATGTACAGGTGTGTGTGTCTGTGTGTGAGCGTGTTGGGACTCACAGCAAGCAGTGCGCCATCTCCAGCGCATCGCGCTGCAGGGGCATCCCCGAGAGGTCGGGCGGCTCCGGCCGGGGGGGCGACGCCTCCTCCTCCTCCTTCTCCTTGTCCTCCGCTGAGACGGCCGCCTCCGGGATCGACTCAAACACCTCGTCCAGGTAGGCAGACGTCTCCTCCGGCACGGCGGCTTCCTGGGAGTGTGCCGTCGATAGCGGCGGCGGCGACGGGCAAGAGGAACGTCACGAGGGGTGCCATTGTGTCGACGGCGCCATTGTCCTCCGGAGATTGTGACAAGCTATTTTCTTAAGTGGATCGGTACACGACTCCCCATCGACATTGTGCCTTGCTCGCGCACGCTTTTAAAGGCGGTTTTATTTTTCATTTTCATGAAGTCCAACGATAAAAACAACCGCTATTTTGTCATCACGCAGTGTAGCAGTATTGATCAAAAAGTTAAATGTTTTTTATTCCATTTGTCACTACAGCAGCATTTTACTATTTTGTAAAAAGAATAAAGAATAATCAACGATGTCATTGTCCAACAAATGCTTCGCACTTCACTGGCCAGCGCACAAAATGACACATGCCATTAGACAAATCCATTAACAATATACTGCTGAGTGCATTAGTCAAATAGACCCGGCTGTGTGCACCAGCCAAAGCCAAGTGGAGCCACGGGGCTCTCTGTGCAAGGGGGTTGCAACTCACTCTGTTAAAGAAGGAGGTATCCAGCTCCTCGACGTGCTCCAGAGTGTCGTCGTCCATGAAGCTCGTGGGCACGAAGCTGCAGCGCTGCATTGGTCCCAGCCTCAAGGTTCCCTCTCTGATTGATCGTCTCTGGAAAGAGAGGTCGCACTACATTGCAGTGTTCGTAAAGCGTCAAAACGCTCCGTCGCCGTCACCGGCCCGTGGACAATTCGGTGTGCGCATTGACGGCCTCCCCAGTCCGCCGTCCTCTCCCACAATCCTACGAAATAATAAAAAGCCACTTGGCACCTGCGCACGAGCCGATTCCATAGCTCCGTCTCTTTGGTGGTACGTTTTTCCGCGCACGTTAGTCATTCCATTGATGCCTCCGTGTCAAAATACATTTGCTATCTAAAAATTCTGCGTTGCTGAAGAATCCCTGTAACCTGCTCACTCCCAGGCCTACGATCACCGCTGGTTTTTTCATTTTCAATCCAAGCGTCACTTTTGTCAATGCCAGGGTGGCTTGATCCGTTCTTGTTCAGAGTTCAGGGCGTGCTTTGAAAATGTTCGTGGCCGATAACTGCAGCGACGAAGGAGCCATCCGATCGCAAACCAATCCCTCAAGCAAAGCCACTGAACAAGCACTACTAGAGCTGGCACGCAAGTCTTACATTTCTCCCAGGTTGCAGTAAATACATAAATGTACAGTATTAACTCTTAGCTATTCCTCTCAACATATTAACTCTGATCTCGCCCCCCGCCATAGGAATGTGGAATTTCCCACCACTGGCTCGGGGCTGTAGATGGGAGATGGGCACCGCCTCAATGCTCATTTGAGGAGCAGCAGGAGATCACCGTGACGTTTACACCTCCAGCAGTCCCGACTGTTGCTGGCCACGTAAAATTCCAGGCATCTAATTTTACATTCTCGCGTACAAAAACCCTCTCCGATAGCCTTCTCTTGTAAACCGACATCACAACGATTGGTTTGACTGCGCTCGGGAAGCTGCGACTTGCACGCGCAACCGGAGCTGCGTGCCACCTCGTGGTATTTTTTGCGGACGTGGATTTTCTGTGGTTGGGAGGGGGGGGGGGGCAACGACCCGGCGCTCACCTTGACCAGGGCGGTGGCGGCGCGGATGCTCATCTTGGCGACCGACTGCCGCTTGCGGCGCACGTAGGAGCGGCCGACGACAGAGCTGGTGAAGGAGGAGATCGAGGCGGCGCCGGGCGTGATCGGCGTGCGCGGGACGCTGACTCCATCGTAGAAGTCGTCCGTGGCCCTGTAAGCTCGTCCACGTGCCAGTGGGTCATAGATCTGCCGGCGGTGAAGAACAAAAAAATATATAACTCACCCCCCCCGCCACCCCCACCCGCAACAAAAATAAACCAATCTATCAAAAAATATGGCGACAGTGCCATAATTAAGGAGGATTGCGAACTTGGCTGTTTGTCAACGTGGCTGCGCTGCGAGTGTTTTTTTTCACAGACCGTGTCCAGTGTCGCCGCACAGTTCGCACCTGCGTAGCGCGATGGCCAAACGCGCTGGTGCATTTGTCCCTTTAATTTCCGCAACCCATTTTTATAGGCAGCGCACGAGTGATTTTTTTTCTTTCTTCCTCGGGTCATTTAACAACCGAGAACATGGTGACGTTGAAGGCTTCATAAATCCGCACGAACGCCGGCTGTTTTTGGCACACACGGCAAAAACTTGGGGACTTGTTTTTTAAATAGTTACCGCGCGCCGACCGACAGTTACCCTCTGCATGCCGAGGTAGAAGGGCTGCGGCGTCTCATTGCTGGCTTGGGAGATGGTGTCCTGGCTGGGCATTTCCATCTCGCGCAGGTACTGCGGCTTAAGCTTGCCCAGGTGCAGGCTGCAGTGCCTGCGCGTGCGTCTCTGCCATCGCTGCTGCTCGGCCTCGCAGTCGCGGCCCACGCCAAACCACTCGGCCGTGCCCCTGGGGGTGCATGCGACAGGTCCGATGAGCGGGCGTGGGGTGGGGGGGTGTCTTTGAGTCGTGCAGCCTCGACCCAAGCCAGGCACCGTTGCGTTTCGCGGAATTGTGGCACGCGATTTTTAACACGTAAGCTTTCGTGGCCAAATATGATCCACGATATCCACATTTACCCACTCCTCTTTAAGACGAGAAAAAAACCAGGAGGAATTCTCCGCAATTCTGGCTGTCGCCTGATGAGGCTGGTTGTTCTAATTACCGGCATGTGAGTTTACTCTCCAACACACCGGTGTGCTGGGCTAGTAATGGATTGATATGGTTCATTTACGTGACAAACCTTACTCATTAGCTGTGTCGAGTGGTGACGGGTTTAACGACACATTTATATTGACGCGATCTAATCCAAAAAACCTCTTGTGGCAGTCGATTGTAAAGCAATAGGCCGCTCTCCTATCTTACAGTTACATGCTAATTTCTCACATGAACATCACTAGCCCCGGCCACTTCTTTATGACCCTTGGGCTACACCCATTTCAAACCTTTTAAAAACAGTCTGCCTCAGCAGCAGACCATGCTTTCCCACCTGATGACGGACGCTTGTGTTGCGCCCGAAACGTCGTGATTTATTGTTTTATTTTATACCTACGTGACTTTACCGAAAGAACCGAAGAGTATGGGAAAAGATGCTCCATATAGCCTCCAGACTGTTGGGGAGAGTGCTAGGCTGTGGTGTTGGGCAGCACCACCCCCGGCCGCCTTCCTACTGCTGGTAAGCGCACCGCACCAGGTACCCAGTTTAGGCTAAGCTGACCTAGGGGAAGCCCAGGACCAGTTAATCGTAGCGCAGTGCGCCAACCACTAGACTGCCACTCCCCGTGCATGTGCACGCTCACACAGACGTTTAACCAGGAGTCTGGGTTCAACAATTGTGTGCCTCCAATTGCTGGGATCTGTTGAACATTGTAGTCGTGTCGTTATGAGAGGGGGGCAATTTACTTGGAAAAGGTCAGGTTAATAAGTCGACTCATTTTTGTTGTCAAGTAGGTAGCTGTAGAATGTATAAATACAACTTCTCAATAATATTGTTAGAATGCTACCGTTTAAAATGTAATAACAATGACTGTGTGTTTCATCAGTTTGTAATGGTTTATCACAAGAGTAACTTGACATGAGCAGCCTGGTTTTTCAATTCTGCTTGGTCTAACGTTTCACCTTTTAGTCGCCATCGATACATTTATCAATAGCCATCTCCCAACCACAGTGCAGAGCACACTGTAATCTTTCTTAAATGTGTCTATTGCTTGTCTTGGCAGTTTATTATGTATTGTATATTCTAGTTGGGGATTTTTTGGTAACATAAAAAAAATAACTGTACGATTTGTTAGATATTCAAGATCACACGATAAGCACTTGCAATGAGAAATCTGATATGAGGCAATACAATATTTCGATAATTTTAAGTTCTGTCATTTTTATTAAGATCTATCATACTTGACTTAAAGCTTTCGTGACTGCAAGAATTCATATTCTTTGAGTCTTTCGGTAAAGTCACGTAGATAGGTTAAAAAAAGAATAAAAAAAAAACTACGTTTCGATCGCAACACAAGCGTTCGAACGCTTGTGTTGCGATCGAAACGTCGTAGGTTTTTGTTATTTTTTGTTATTTTCTTTGAACCTATCTACGTGACTTTACCAAAAGACCCAAAGAATATCTATCATACTTATAATCTAATTCCACAAAACGCTTTGACACCATCTTGACTAAATACTATAATACAAAAGCAATTCTTACTTTGTGCCAATATAATGAATACTGTTGGGGCAAGTGCTGTGAGCGAGCATCTATGACGCCTGAGGGAGGTGGGTGGCAGCGCCACGCCCGGCTGCCTTTGTCTCCCTAGTGGAGATGTTGACACACCGCACCAGCTACTCATTTGAGTCGACCTAGGGGAGGCCCAGGACCGGTTCAGACAATCGTCGCTGGCGTTGGCCGTGAGCGGGAATCGACCGGCTCGCCAGGTTCGTAGCGCAGCGCGCTAACCGCCGCACCACCACTCCCCCCCCCCGAATATATATGTTCATAAATAGACACGTACAAACGTGCAATAAATGCCAATACGAATGTAAAAAAGGTAGACTTACCAGTCGGGAAGTGTTATGTTGCACGCTGTCGACCTCAATAGAGCATCGGCATCGCGAACAATGCTGTTCTCGGTGTGGCGTTGACAAGAACGGCGCAAGAGCGCGCACGCGGTCTCGCGGTTCCGCTCTCCCTTGGCGCGAGGAAGCTCCTCGTACGAGGCGAGGCGCGCGGCGCTCCTCAAAGGCGAACGGCCAGCGAGACCTTCCACGCCGGTGGAGATTCTCAACCCGAATTGAGTTTTTTTCTCCCAACCAATTTCTTCTGCATCCTCAAAGCCGATTCCGGTGTTTCCATAGCAGCTAAGCACAGTAAATAAACCCCCCCCCCCCAATCTTATTGACCAGGTGAGTGTTATTTACCGTGCGCATCACACGGCTGCAGTACATCAAAGTGCATGTGCGGTCAACCTGCGTTAAAGCTTTGACATTAAAGCCTGTAGTTTGTGCAGGCAGTCGATTAACTTGTTTGCTTTTATCCTCAAAGGTACCCATACCACACATTCCTCCTGGAGTACACCATCACAGTTTAGTAACTTCAGTCGCCCCCTCCCCTCTCCTTTCTTCGGCTGTCACGATAAGCGTGCGTGCTTGTGGTTTGCAACACGCTACGGCTACAAGCCAGGGATTCCGCCCAGCATTCGTATGTCAGCCACCACTGGCATCGGGAATTGACTCTGAATGTTTCTGGCGCTTTTCAGTATTGCTTGATAAGTCGCAGCTACTTGCACTTGATTTAACTGCTGCTCTGTGTGCAGTGGTGGACCATACTGGCGCTGTAAATATTATAAGATATTATATGTACGAATTTGGCATTGGTTGGCGTGTCACGTTTACACCCATCTCGTGCACTATGTGAATGGCACATAACACATTTTTAAATGTATAATCATAAAAAAATGGTTCGTTAATCTAAAGTAAAGATGACAAGACGCTGTCAAATGTATTACAAGTAGGATAAGTGGATACGAAAAAACGGTTACTTGCTATATTGATACCAAGTGACATGCATTAAAATAGCGTGGTGTATCGGAAAACCATGACTCAACAAACGTAAAACTAAAAACCGCCTACCTTGTCACTGCGTGTGGAGTCGGCGTCAATAGTCCGTGAAAAAAACGCACGACTTTGACTAAATTTAGCATTTATATTTGTTTCAAGTGCCGTCGGGGAAGTGATAAAAGCTGCAGGAGCAATTGGATGCGCGTGTGGGTCTGTGTGCGAGCGCGTGCGAGCGCGCGCAAGTGTGTGTGTGTGTGCGTGCGTGCGTTCGCGCGTGTATACAGCGAGGATGGAAACCCTACCCGGACTCTGACAAGAGGATGAAAAAAAATTTGCCTATTGTCAAAGCCCACAGCAGCTCTTGAACGCAGTTTTTTTTTCATGGGACAATTAGAAAAAACAAGACGCGCTTTCAAAGGCAGTCTAGCAGGTTCTACCTCCAGAGGGTGCCCGTATATATTGCCGTTGTGCAAGCGTGTCGTTTCGTCCCCGCTCTCTGCCTCACGTGGCCTTGTCGTGCGCACCACTAAGCTGCAAGACGCTGATCTGGGTAATCCGCCAAACTTTGAACGCTCACCCAAAATCTGCCACCCTTGGGGCTCGCCAGTTTAGTGAGCGGCACAATGTGGGCTGCTCGAGACGACAAGCGAACTCCCGTCGTCGGTGACACCGCAGTGTTCTCTCGGGCCCGACGCAACCCTGAAGAAGTGGCCTTGTTGGGCAAACTTACGAGAAAAATAAGAAAGGGTGGTGGAGGGGGGCGGGCAGGGGCTCTGCTCCCCCACGCTATGGGGCTGGCACGTGAAGCGCACCTCTATAGTACCTACGCTTCGGTGGACAGGTGCTCTTAAAGTGTGCACAATGCTGAATTAAACATTGTAAAATATCGTGAGGTCCTTTTCAAACTGAACGCATTGTCAGTCGGTGGTTTGCCACCTAAACGATGCGGTAGGAATCCTCAAATAATATAAGTTGGCTGAATTGCGTTGATGTGGAAACTACGTTTTTTTTACTCTTTGGTTCTTTCGGTAAACTCAGGTAGAAAAATAAAATCTACATGACTTTACCGAAATAACCAAAAAGTAATTCCTGCAGTCACGAAAGCTTTGAATCTAGTTTTAAATTTTTTTTTATTGGATGTGCATCATGTAACAAAAGGCATTCGGTTTTAAGAAAATTTCAGTTTCATAAGGGGGATTAAAACTTACAAAAACTAAGCTCAGCAAAGCAGTGTGGAGGAATGGTGACATGCCACAGCTCTCGTGCTTCTCGTCATGCTCTGTGACGAGTGATCAACAGGTTTTTTTACGAGAATAATCTGCAGTGACAAAGAACCCAACGAATTTGTCAATAACACTGCCTTCGGAAGGAACGGCATAATAAACGACGTTTCGGGAAATGGCCCTTCTTCTTAGCGGATGAATTATTTGTGCATGACTGCCAACGCAGCGTCTACAAATAATGTATTCTTGAGTGCTTAGAAAAAAACAACACTTCTCAACGTCAAGCAATATGTCACATGTCATAGATTACAAAGTCAGCAATACAGCAAGTGTGCAATTAATCGGTCCATACGATCACACTTGAGGCCGAGCGTGAAGAAAAAAACGGAGCAGAGGAAATCGCGAAGGTAGACAGATACCTGACCATGTCCCGTGATCGGGTGGAGGCTCGCTTGGGATGGGGTGCCACACGCCTGTTGGCAAACTGGCCCCTCTCAAGCACCGACTGAACCCGGTTACGAGGAGGGTTCTTGGAAAATGTGAAGCTGGGACAACGGAAGCACGGAAGGGAAGACAGGGACCGTAGCACCAGGACACGGAGAGGAGCGGGAGGAAGAACAGATTTTGATCAAATAGTTTAGCAAACCCACCATACAAAAGGAGTCACAATATTAAGGAGGTAAAGAAATAGATGTTTTTTTCCCCCCATTTTGTTGTACAAGATATGTACCGAAGGGTTGGACATATTACAACAGGTATTGGGCACATAACGACGTCTACATTTAACAGTGTGCGAGAATTGATTATGCACTGAGAGTTAGACGGAAATGATATTGGTAACTTATGATTCGGTTAACAGGTCGCGCAAGACTTTATAAACAAGATGGGAAAAAAACCCCAACGAACAATCAAAGCAAGACCGTAAAAACCAGACCACCTATGCTTGAGTATTTGGCTGCTATACATTGCCACGTGATGATAAGCAACTCCTTTTTGCGCTTCTGAAAAAAAGAGCTCGATAGTTCAGTGTGACTTACCTGGTGCAATAAAAATAGTTGAGTTCAGTTTAATCGCTTCAAATCCTGACCCTTGTCTCAGCAGGCCATACAATAGCTGGGGTGCAGGGTGGGGTTAACGGTAAGACGAATCGATATTTCTCCAACACTTCATGTGTATACTGCAGTGTTTGTGTGTGTTTTAGTGTGGAAATTAGTGCCTTGAAAACTCTCAAAGCAATTGAATGGCTAAATCACTTAGAACCGAATCTCTAACAATGGCTGTAAAAAGTTACCGCTGTCTTTAAAAATATCGAGCACTGGGTTATTTAGAAACTAAAGCGTATACGGTGTGTGTTTGCTCAGCATGTGTACAGGAGAGTAATTGCTTCGGTGTTTATCATACGGCATGCACAGCAGACTATTTGCTTTTAGTACAGCTTCCGCGATGAACCAAACGCATAAGACTATACTGTACAGAGAATACGCGCAGCATCACTCACAGAGATGTATAAATAAATAATCAGGCCCATACATTTTAACTCTTTACTGCATGACTTACTAAAAGCAAAACCCCAAGCATTTGTTCAGTTTAATGATTTTCAGGATTTAAAGCGATGTCCAAATGTGGTGAAAGCGTGTGTCCATAAAGAGTTGCACTGCAGTCGTGGTGTGCAATGGCGGCGCCCTCCACTCGGGCATGATGCATGGAGAGCGTTGCTGAAAAATGGACGTTGGGCGAGTTATTGTTTTTTTACCGTCGGATTGATTGAGCCACAGAGCCCTGCCGCTGGAAGGAGGGTTTCCCCATCTCCGTGCCGGTGGGCGGTCCGTGCGACTCCACGGGCATGCTGACGCTCCAGCGGTACACGGGCCGCGCGCCCGAGGGCTGTGAACAGACAGTAATCGTCGTCGCCCAACGACAACGGCAAGCACATCCACCGATCTCACATCGCGTCCATCGCGTTGGCTCCGCATCCGTCCCCGCAGCGGCAGCTTTTGAGCCAGCTCCTCGAACAAGACGGCCGTCGCCGCATCGCTCGCTTTCAGATGCGCTTCTGCGACCGTCTGGAACGCTCTTGCTACCGATATTAGGAAGCCACTGGAGCTATGCACTATGCAATCATCTAGATTGAAAACGAATTTCTTTAGACCTGCTTTTTGTGTTTGGTTTGTTGTCCTTCCCCCGCACCTTCGATTAGTGCGGCTGTCATTAATCCATCAATAAATTAATCGGTGTCTCAACGATTTGTCCAAATATGATTCCAAAACAAACATGTTATTGTGCGTAAAGTAAATTTATACCCCCAAATTGTCATTTGCAAACGTGCGTTTTTTTTGCGCTTGAGTCATGTGTACATTTACACACACTGTTAAGCATTCTTACTCTTTAGTAATTGCGAGCATTTTCATAAAACCACCCAAGCCATGTGACGTCCGTTGACTTGACCGTGGCCTTCTTGTAGCAGGGGCACTGCGCGCCGACGGCCACTCTTACCTAAATGTGCCCCGATCTCTTCAGATCTCCAGAAGCCAAAGCAGGTTTGAAACCTGGTTAGTACTTTGAGGGGTGACCACCACCAGGGCTTGCCAGGTTTTTGAAGGTGTGGGTTCTGTGAAGCAGCCAGTACTGGCTGCTATATAACCCCCTTGTATGCTTTGTAATAATAATAATAATTCCATTTATATAGCGCTTTTCATTAAGTATCTCAAAGCGCTGTCCAGGACACAGCAGCAGCATACACTCAGCATAATATTATAAATACATTTTAAAAATCATTGACTACATTAGCTAAAAATGTAATAAGTGGAAGTGTATAAATAGCTTTGAATAAAATAAAATATAGCTTAAAAGTAACTCAGATTTATACAAGGCCAGCAGGAGTGGCAAGATTTCCCGCGTCCCCTGCAGGTGACCAACTGTCAACTTTCTAGCATTCTCCAGCAACTCAAAGTCTCGTGCATTTGACCAGACACTGCTGAATAGCATTGGCTAAATGTGCTCGTGCACGCAGGACCCTCGTGAAACAAGGTGTTGCTGAGACTCGGGAAGGCTGTCCCGAGTAAATAACTGGCAACGTCTCGTCACGGTGGCGATGAGATGTTAACTACCTCGCCTGGTATACCGGAGGTTCGTGGGTCCGATCCCGATCCTGATGCACGCTGTATATTTGGAGTTTGCGTGTCTCTCTTTCCCCGTAATTGTGTGGATTTTTCTCCGGGTCCTCCGGTTTTTCCCTCCACATTTAGAATCAGCATGCGTTTAAGAGTATTTGGCTGCTAATCATTTCCACGTGATATGACACTCCGTTGAGCTATCATTTGTGGTCAGGTCACTTCTGAAAAAGAGCGAGACAGCTCAGTGGGTGCTACCTGGTAAAATAAAAAAAATTGTTTAGTTTTAAGTATGACTATGAATGTACTTCCAAGTAAAGGTGCAGCTCTGAAATTACGTGTTCCTAGCACTGCTGGCAGAAGAGCTTGTATAACTACAGGAAGTCGAAAAAACATTCTCTAGAGGGCATTTTGGCCCACTCTGTCAACAATACGCATTGAATGAGAGGGGAGTACCCACACTTTACCCCACCGTACGCGACTTGCCCATCGCCCCACTGTGGTGACAACCCATTTACACCGCTGGGTGGAACAGGTGGGACCGGGGGCGATGGGGGCAGGGATTTTACAAACGTGCACAGAATGTTTTTAATTGAGAAATGTGAAACGCAAGTCGGCCTCTTGGTCGAGCAGCAAGGCTCTCGAGCAGCGGTTCTTGGCCTTCACTGCAACCTTGCACCACTTTGGTTCTCAATTGTAAAAAGATATATAATGTTCATAAACACATAGGGTTTGATGAAACAAAGTAAGTTGTTCATCTTATTGGTTCTTTCGGTAAAGTCACGTAGAAGGGAAATAATAAAATAATAAAAATAAAACATAATACAAGAAATTTTTTATATTTTTATTTTATTTTATTATTTCCCTTCTACGTGACTTTACCGAAAGAACCAAGAAGATGAATCCCTGCAGTAACGAAAGCTTTAAATCGAAAAGTAAGTTGTTACTTACGAGCCCGTGCCTAATTTTTGTTTTCAATTATTTACCATCTGAAAAAATCTGGCCATGTCTCACAACCCCCAGAAAGGGCATCTGGCACCTCCAGGGGGTGCAGTGTGCACCCCAGGTTAAGAAGGAACCACTGGTCTAGAGGAATTCCCCCCCCGCCTCAGAACCGCTTGCTGCGTAGCTGACCTGGCCCGAGCCGGGTTCCTGGAGTGTCGCCGGTGCCGCGTCCGCTTGCGTCGCAGGGATTTTCAGGGTGAGCCATGATGGCTTCTTCTTCTGAAGGTTGCTGACGTTCGCGCCGAGCGAGTCCGCCATGCTTGCGCCGTGGGCATCGGCAGACTAAGGGAGGAGGTGTGTGACAGAGAGACAGAGACAGAATTGACAAATGACACGGTCGATGAACAAAGAGCGTTGCAATCGAAGCAATTTAAAACGGATCACGTGCGCACATCCGGTTAAAACAAGTCGGTTATATGATAATAAAAAAATATATAAACACGAGATGAATGTCATAATTTGTGAACCTTTGTTAATGGACTGCTGGATAAAGCCCCCCCCCCCCCCCACTATGAGTAGTGGAGGTTGACTAGAAAATGTCAAAGAGTGTTTTGTTAATACACTGAGAATTACTGTTTCCTATCTATAAACATGTCTTTCTTAAAAGCGAATTTTGGTCTGAGTGGACCCGAACCTTGTTATAAAGGTCATCTATGTATGAGCGTTTCAGTACATCGTGTTGTTATTGTGATAAAGTAAAACAAGACGAACCAGCGGTAGAAATGTGACGGTAAATGAAGATATGATATACCGGCACTTTTCCGAATGCCAAAACACGTTAACCGGCCCTTTTTGTAACGTTTCAACCTGAAGCAACACCGGGGTTTCTGAGGGTAACCGGCAGTTAACACGGGCTTGCAAGGCCCAACACGAATCGTAGCAGGACACCAGCGTGTCTACGTCCACCACTCTGGGTGTGCCTAAACAGACGCCGATAAAGTGAACGCCAGGGCGATGATAAGTGACTGCACGCAAGGTGGCGGTCGGGTGTCGGCAGTCATTTGGGCACCGGTGGTGGGCGGCAATCCGGAGATGAGCAGTCGGCGTTCGACCGCCAAAACAGCATGCGTCACGCAAGGCAGTGAACGCCACAAAGACGGCATTGGTAATTGCACCGAGCGGGGTTGGCGTGCGTCACGCACGACCAAAGTGTTGCAACTTTTAAGTCGTTGTTGGGATGTGACTCGGCTCGTGGTTTTTTGCCGAGGGTCAATCAAGAGAGGGGTGGCGGGTGTTGTGGTGAGCGCACTCTCCTAGTTTCTCCTGGCTCGCCACTGGAACCAACGGGTACAAGCGGCCTCAGCGTCGACAACTCTGGCTGTCGCTTGATGAGGCTGGTTGTAATTACTGGCAAAACGTTGGAGTTGAATGGTAAATGCCGTGTGTGTTTACTGTCCATTTCACCGGTGTGCCGAACTAGTAACGAATTGCCGTGCTCTGTTAACGTGACAAATCTTACTAATTGGCTGTGTCGGCTAGTGGCGGGTTTAACGACATATGTATATTTCTGCGAACTAACCCAAAACAACCCTCATAGATAATATCGGTCGTGACAGCGTACGTGTCGGACGGATACGTTTCTTAAATCCCCCATCCCCACCTCTGTCTACCCAGCAGTATAAGTGGGCACACCACATTTGATTTCTATCGGACAAATGTAAAAAAGAGCTTCATAGCTCATCGGATTTCTCCAAGAAAGATTCTAATTCGGACTGATAGCGCACGCGTGGTGACGTCCAGTGGGACTGCTCCCAACTTTTCCAAGACATCTGGCCAGCGTGGAGGAGTAGGCCAAATACACCCTCGAGAGAAGTTCTCTCGAGCTCCGTGCAGTAGAGGCCCTTCCGTCAGCATTTACTATGAATAAGCAATTGCAGGGCTGCACCTTGTGGGAAGTCAAGAGCAGACATCCTACAGGAAAGACTGGTCAATACCATGGAAATGTGGAATTGTCTCCGGGCTACCTGCAAATACACATTAGTGCTCATATGAGAAAGGCGGCGCGCTAACCTTTCGATGCATTTCAACCGTCCTTTACACGTGCACACGCACTTTCCATTAACACGATGAACATAGCAGCAGGCAACGAAGTTGGTGACCCGTGTCACGTGAACACAAAGACCGCAGCTATTATATTTGCTACTTCAATATTTGGACAAGCTGCTTGCTTTTTCTCTCTCTCTCTCAAACATATTTCTTGTTTTATTTTGCCAAGCTGTGAATCATACCTCCTACAAACAATGACCCTTTGTGTACGTGCGTAATCCAGACTTATTGTGCTGCACGGCCCCACAGACGCTTCTGCCAATGGGTCGAGTGTTTGTGTCTGCGGACGCTCTGTCGATTCGGAGCAATTTCACAATAATGTCCGCCACGTACGTGCAGCCTCAACAGATTAAGTTTTTGTTTTTGAGCAATAGCAGACTGGCAAGAGCAATTGTTCGTCGTGCCTTTGTGTCGGAATTGTTTGTCTAATTTCTGGGCGTAAACATGGTAACGCTTTGAGCAGAGCCGGCATTGTTTTAACGTTTCAGTTCAACGTTCCCACATGTAAATGCATGGATCCACTCCGGCATACAACGGAAAAAGGGTTATACACGCATTCAAACATCTGCCGAGACGAGCGAGGTCAGAACGCCGTAGTTCCAGAGTGCACCACTTTACACTCCGTTTTTTTTCCAGTCGTAATAAAGAGTATCTCCACATTCCGGCATGCCCGTGGTCAGGCGTGTTGCATGCAACTAGGTGGCAGCAGCAGCAAGTTGCCGATAGTTGCATACGGCGCGTGTGACCACGGGTGTAACAACAGAATGTGGACGGAGTCGCAATCTTTATTGAGACTGCAGGAGGAATCCGATGAGCTGTGAAGCTCTTTTTCACGATGTCCGGTCGGGGCACGGGGTCACGGGGTCACCGGGTTACATCAGCAAGCGATATGTCAAAGACGGCACGAGCGCAAGATAGAGAAATGTAAGCGAGTCGTTAAACAGAAATCAAGTACACGACTACAAACTGCACACGTGCATACATTCCTGGCGATTTGTCGACACCGAATGCAAGGGTTGGGGCAAATCGACAAAACAACAACAACAACAGTCCCAGACCACACCAAGACAACAACAACAGTTCCTCAATGACATTGCGGATTAAAATTTAACGAGGATACACGGATCTGGGTTCAAAGTTACAAATTTGCAAACGCGGCTGTATGTGTAGGGGGGGGGGGGGGAGCTCATCGATGCGTATTTGGGTTGTACCACCGCGTGTTTGACACCCGACGTTTCGCTCCACGTGCTGGGAGCAACACCGCGGTATTCGATGCGCGGCGGCAGTAGCAGTCTCTGCCAAATGAGCTGCACCTGCCCCAAGGTGCGTGTGGAAACTCAATCCTTACTCCTACGCTCGGCCTTGACTCGGAAAATAAGGTGCACTTGTAACCTATTCACCGTGGAGGTAAATTTAGAAGTGTTGGCCAGCGTTGTTCTTTTTCCATGAATAAAAAGTTAGGTTTCTTTCTCGCAGTTGCGATAAGCATTTCAGCTGGGGGGAGGCGGGGGAGTGCGTGGAAAGGTGGTGGAGAGGGTAGGAAGCCTCGTGCGGTAAGTTGAGGTGATGTTTAAGGAGGGTTTTTGTTTTTAGGTGGCTCGGCTCAAAATTATAAAATACAAAGAGACAAAGGAGAGGATAATTGGAGGTGCTTTCAGACAGCCGAGCTTGACAATGAAGAGCAACTTGCCAACAACGTGCCCGCAGAGTGCACATCACTTGCTCGGACATACGGATCAGGAGAACGCGGACACCGAGAGAGAGGATATGGAACCAAAGGTGTGTAAAGTTAGCAGAATAGAAATGCATAGGTCAGAGAACATCGCAAGTTACGGACACCATATCGACGTTTAAGTCGGTGGGCTTGGGCACGAAACGTCACGGGGAAGGAAGATGTCGCCACTGATGGATGAATATGTACGTACTGTATGTTGAACTTCTTTTGCACAGTACGTAGCCAACCGTGCTAATCGGAGGTGCGGGGGAAGGACAACAAACTAAATAGAAAAAAGCAGTTCGAACGAAATTCGTTTTCAATCGAGATTTAACAGTGCACAGCTCCAGTGGCATCAGAAGGAAGAGCATTCCAGACGGCCACAGAAGCGCATCTGAAAGCGCGCGATGATGCGGTGACCGTCTTTGTTCGATGGCCAACCCAAAGCCGCTGCTGCCAGGATGACCGGAGTTTGTGTGATGCTTTGTGTTTTGCGTGACGGTTTAAGCAAGGCATTGTGGTTCATCCGTGGCAAGCACTTCGTGTATATTGAGTGCGACCTTACACTAATGTGTTCGTTAGGCAAGCGGAAGCCAACGCAGCTCGGCGAGCACTGGACGGACACGGTGGGAAATGGCAGGAGAATAGCAGCCCAAGGAGAGAACACGAGCGAGATGTTGTCCACCACCGAGATGGAGCCAAGAGGTCCGGTTCACGTGCAGGATAGAGAGATGGCGCGTGATTGTTGCATCGTGAGGCCATCATCGATGGTGACAGATTGCGGAGATTGATCACGACTGATGATGTTCGGTCTGAATCTTGACAACAACATCGAATAAATCGAATACAGTATTGATAAGGTTCAGTTGTATATAAGGTTCAGTTGTGTATCAAAAGTTGAATCCAATACAACATTTATAATTTACAGTCCTTTACCAATCTACGGCTGGATGAAATCTTCCCCAAACCGTCGCACGTGGGGATTGTTTCACCATACTTCACACACTGGTCGGCGTGAGTTCGTCAAGCGGGTGGTGGGGATGTTACTCGTCACCGATAGCCACGGACCCGCGATCGAACTCGGCTCGATGGGTTCTCAGTGCGGTGTGCTAGCCACTGTGCCACTGCTCCCCAAAAACAATTATGCTTTAAAATTTCGATTTGAAGCTTTCGTGACTGCAGGGATTCATATTCTTCGTTCTTTCGGTAAAGTCACGTAAGAAGGGAAATCATTTTCTTGCTGTGGTTTTCACACCTGATGATGATTGCTTGTGTTGCAATGGAAACGTCGTGAGAATTTTATTGTTTTATTTTTATTATTTCCCTTCTACGTGACTTTACCAAGAATACAATTATGCTTGTAATATTGACATTCAGTATTCATGATTTATTAAACATTTTTATTCTGCAAGATAATCCGTGTTTGCATGCACGCACACACACTCTTTTGTAACTTATGAATGTTAAATTGTGCACTTTAAATAAAAAAAATTTTGATAGAGGATAAAAAAAGGAAAAATAT